AATCTTCTGGTTCTGTTATTTTCAATTGAAACTAGAAAAATTACCCGGTCACGAGGGGTTGTAAACTTTTTTTATTTTGATGAAATAATAAATTTTTTAATTTAATAATAAATTAAAAATTATTTTTTAGTATTTCGTGGGTTTTTTATTTTTAGAAAATATAATCTTTTATAAAAATTTTAAAAAAATTGATACTCTAATTGTGTAACTCAATTATAATTAGATAGATGTTGCCTTTTATTTTAAATAAGAGAGACTATTTTTAAAAATTATATAGATTAAATTCAAATCTAATAATACATACATGACAATCTAACTTATTGATATAATATTTATCTATTATCAAATTCAAACTCATTTGTACATGAAATCAAAGCTTACTAATATTATCACCCATTCAATTTAAATTTTTTAAAGAAAAAATCAATAATTTTATTATGTTAGAAAGGGTATTATAATAATTTTGATCAATAATAAATGGAAGGATATTATAGTAACTTTGATCATCTATGATATTGAAATATTTCAATAATTATAATAAAAAAAATATTATAGTAATTTTAATTAATTATAAGAGAGGTATTACAATAAATTTAAATACATACATTCAATTATCAAGCAATTAAAAAGATATTATAATTATTTCCAATGAAATTTTGGTTGATTCAGAAAACCAGGGCATCATATTAAATTTTTACATGTGTCAAGCAATAAGCAAATAATTGGAAGGGCATTTGTCATTTTCAAATGAGTTTATTTTCATTATATAGTTATAATTTTCAAATAAAATGACATATGTCTACTTCTTATGAACTAATTATAAGGATATTTTTATAATTATAATAAAGAGTATTATAATTATTTTGATCAATTATGATGAAAAAATATTTTTGTAATTATAATAAAAATATATTATAATAATTTTAATCAATCATGATAGCAAGTAATTTTTATAATTATAGTTGAAGGAATATTATAATAATTTTAGTTTAATATATGAGATATATTTTCGTAATTATGACATAATGATATTATAATAATTTTATATTTATAAAAGTGATATTTTTATCATTTAAGAATAAAGGATATTGTAGTAATTTGTCATTTAAGAAATGAGAAGTTATCGTAATTTACATTCAAATATTTTTGTCAATATGTGGGAGGGTATTATCATCTTTTTAGACACATGTCAAGCTATTAACCAAAAATTGAAAGGGTAAATTTGTCATTTCGATGGTAGGTTACTTTAAATAAAGGTGTAGATATGATTGAGTGACTAATTCTCTGATTTCATCCATAACTTTCCCAAGGTGACAAATATATATAATTCTTGTGATGCTCACAAGATAAAATATCTAGGCCTTCTGAAATCATTCGTAACAATTAGAAACGAATATTTTACAGGGATTGTTGAATTTACTGTTGTAATCCTTGGTCTAATGAAACAAAAATTTTTGTTCTTTCCCTTTTCATTTGAAAATTTTTTTTTCCCCATCATGATGAGTTATCAATCTAATCAACTAACTCAAGTTGTTCTTCAGAATTTAGTGTTGTTGAAATCAAATGTAAGATTTTGTCAGTTTCATGGGTTGGCATGGGCCTTCTGATTTGGATGGATCACTTCCCACCTGTCCATGAATTCAACAATAAAATCAAATTTCGTTGGAAAAAGTAATGACAATATAAAGAAGTTGATATAAATAAAAATTTTTGTTTTGAAGTTTTTAAATTCTACCAGTGTTAGATTGGTATTAAATGCTCATAAAAAAAATGTGACAATCGTTTAATTTTATTGGTAAAAATCATGAAAGCTGTTTTATCTTAAAATTGCATAAATAAATATTAATGTTTTAAAAAATACAATAGTTTATTTAAGGGTGATAATTATTTTGATCGAATTTTTTGATTAATTCGATTAATATTTAATATTATAAATTTTTTAAATTTGATTTAAGTTCAAATCGATTTCTCTTAAAAATCAAATTGATTCGAATCGAATTTCACTTGTTTTATTTGGTTTATTGATTTTAGAAATCAATTGTTATTATTATTTTTATATTATTTTAAATTCATTTTAATAGATTTAGATATAAAATAATTATTTTATTTTGTAAAAATTTAAAATATATAGATATAATAAAAATATATATAATTTGGTTGAATTTATATTTTTTGTTTTTTCATTTGTCAATTTTAAATTTGAATCGAATCAAATTAAAATATAAAAATTTAAAATTTAAATTAAATCAAATAAAAAAAATTTAAATATTATAATTTAAAATAGATTTTTTTTAAAATTTTTTCTCATCCCTAAAAATATTATGGAAGAGAATATTTTGTACTAGCCATTTTCATATCCTTAATAAAACAGGGACCAATCGAAAATTACTTGAAAATGATTATCTCCTGAAAACATTTTTTGTTCACAAACAGAAAATTTTGAGTCATAAACTTAAAGAACTTGAAAATCATTTTAATAATGATAAGTGTCTATTAGCCATTTGGCAAAATCACAGCTACATCATGAAAGGACAACTTTAGTAGCTTTTGATTGTTCACGTTTTTTGCATGAAAACAAAAACCAAATTGAAATTGGATTATTTGCACAAACTTGGAACACATGACCCAAACAAATTTCAATTTCATAAAAATATCATCAGGCGAATTACATAAATGAAAATAATTTATTGAAGAATGTATCTTAGAGCTTTAAAACTTAAAATTATTGCAATTTTAACTATTAAAATTGATAAAAAAAATTTAAAAATATAAAAATATTGATACTGTATTTATTTTATATGAAATATATATAAATTTTTAAATTACAATTAGTGTAAAAATCAAATATGAAATATATTTTTATTTTTATTTATTTTATTTATTTTTTAATAAAATTTTAAATTATATTATTTTTATATTTATCATTATATCTTATTTAAAATCATTGACATACCTTAAAATTGACTGCAAATAAGTTAAAGGACAAAGATTGTTGGATTCCAAAGAAACGAAGGTTTCTACAGCCGGACACGTGTACAGTGTCAAAATCATGTATGTAAGGGTCCGGATTTCACATGATTGATGTTGGACACGTGGTGCTCAAATGTTATTTGGCGGTGGCCATCTTCTATCCGTACACGTGTAACATCTTTGACTTTTCTTGATATGAGATTTTATCCACTACAGCTTTTTTTTTTTTTTTGGCAAGTTTGGTGACCGGTGAGTTATAAAAAAAATAATACGCTTTACCCTTTCCCATTCTCTACAATGTTCAATGTTGGTTGGTTCATGTAATTTCATTAATGTAATTTCTTTTTTTAATTTGAGAATGAAATGCTTATCCCTAACATTGAGTTATTTGATTGATTTAAAAACTTTAGTAATCATGGTCATAATATATATATGTTTTTGATGGCTTTAAAGTAAAGCTTATAAAATAAAAATTTTTAATCACTTAAAATATACTTAATTTTATATTCACCTTTCTCTATATCCTAATAACAATTTCCTTTTAAAAATTTGTATGCATATATAAATTGTTTATTAGGCTTAAAACACTCAATTATAAGGGTGACAAAAATAAAAAAATTAATTCAATATTGTAATATTGTTTTAATTTAAATCAATTTTTTCTTATTTGATTTAAATTAAATTTGAATATTAAATACATATATTATATTCGTATTAAATTTTAAAATGACAAAAAACAAACAGAACCAATTTGTATACCTTCATTAATTTATATATATTTCAAATTTTTATAAAATAAAATAATTATTTCACATCTAAAACTATTTAAATATATTAAAAATTATATTAAAATAAAAAATAAAAAATTAATGAATTAAGTTAAATCAATAAAATTCAATTCAAAACAAATCATATAAAAATTTGAATCCAATTCAAATTAATTTTTAAAAAACTTATAATTTTATACATTATTTAAAAAATCAAATTGAATTGAATTCAATTTAAATTATTTTCATTCTTACTCAATTATTACATTTGATTCATATTGATAAGATTGTACCATGACTTGTGTAGAAAAAAAATTTTAATTAATGATAGTACATAAAAAAAAAAAAAGCAAGCTTTATGGAAAAGGGTAACCCTAGTAGCTAAAACTGTGAGTCTGTGATCAAATCAGTATCATCAAAGCATAATAGATATAACCAACCCATTTTGTTAGTAAAAAGAAGTTTCATTTTTTATTGTCAAATCAAGGTTTGATTTTTGTGAGGAATAATAAATACATAAGATCAATATAAAGAAATGTGCACTTCGAGAGTTGAATTTTGAATGATTAATTTAAAAAACATATGAATTTGGGGTCGCATATATATATATATATATATATATATTTTAATTTGGGATCAAATTTGTCAACCCAAAAATCAAAGTAAACAAAAAAGAACAAAGTAAAACCTAAATAGTATAACTATATATATACAGTTTAGGAGTAGAAGTCAATTCTATAATACTATCTTTTCTAGGATATTTTATATATCATCCATAAGAATGTGAAATCAAATTTGTCTTTCACAAATTGTGGGAGTTAAATTAATAAAAAATTATAAAGTAATAATATTTGATCCAAAGAAAATAATTACTTGTAATTAGTAAAACCTAAGAATAATCTTAATTTTTTCTTTTTAAATGCTTAATGCATACACAATATACAAATCATAATTATATAGAGAAAATCCCAACCCAATTCAAAGTATAAAAAAAAAAAGTTAAATAAAAATTTATTAAATTCAAAATTTAATCTAATTTATTCAATTATCTTTAAAAATAATATTCAATAGATTTGTATTCAAAACTTAACACCTATTCCTTGGTAAATAAAATAAAACAAAAACATCGGAATGATATAGGCTTAAACCTGACACCATTAGACCTCCGAATTTCTGTCCCGTGTCCAACAATGGATCCACACCCACAAATCTTCACTACTTTCCACACCTAATACACATTCCCAATATTTTTTTGTTAAAGAAAAAAATAAAAAACTTTTGACCCTTAACTTGTTCTAGAAGTCCATAAAGCCTGTTGACCCATGACCTCTTCCAAATGTTCCTTCCTCCTATCTTTCCTTTCCTTTCCTTTCCTTTCACTTTGCCTTGTCCGTGTGGTGCACTGATTTTACAAAATACCGAATCCCAAACCAAACCAGAGAACTCCAGATTCTCACGCCTATTTCTTTCTTTCTTTCTTTCTTTCTTTCAATTTCAACTTTTTTTTTTAAATTTTATTTTAATCTATATTTTAATCTATATATTCACACCTACGTACCCCTATTATTTCCTACCCCTCTTTTGTACCTATTTGTACAAAGACAACAGGCTAGTTTTAACTCCCATCTTTCTTCGGTTGTGTCTTTACAGTTTCCTGTCAGGTCCTGCTACTATGACGTCTGGAATATGTTCACAGGGTTTGGTCTTAGCTACAGCCATGGTTGTTTCCAGCACTTTGATTTTCCTTACTTTTTCCAGGCAAAAAGCTTTGCCTCCTCCTAAACAAACCCTTCGTTCTTGCTTGTCTTCAGGTATGAACCGATGGGGTTCTTTTTTTTTTCTTCATAAATTATGATTTTTTTGGTTGAATTTTTTTGTTTATTTTTGTAGAGGGAAAGAAAAGGGATAAAAAGAAGAAGAAAGTGAAGTTTGCTGAGAATGTGAAGGAAACAAGCGGCAATGGAGAAGAGTATAGAAAAGAGCAACAGAAGAAGTTAATTGCGGCAACAGTAACAGCAGGAACATCAACAAAAGTTGATAGATTTTGCAGAAATGAAATGCCGGCAAATAGGGTTGCTTTGTACAATGGAATTCTCAGGGACCGTGTTCATAGAACGGAGTGTTCATATTGATTACTGCGCTGTCAAGTCCAAGCTTGATTCCCTCTTATCTTTGTTTTTTCACTCACTTTTCCTTTTACCTTTTGCAGACACTGAAATTGTGGGCTTTTGTTTTTCTTTTACCCCTTTGTTTAAATTGTAAATAATAAAAATTTGTCCAAATTATGGGTCTTTAGTGAGAATTTTAGGCAAAGGTTGTAAATTTCAGCCTTCTGATTTTAGCTTTTCTTCATTATTACATTGCTATGTTCTTGACAAGAAAATTTGCGATTGAAATCAGAAATTTCTGGGAAGGGGTCCAATAACATGGTCATATTCGCTTTTAATTCAATTTGGCTGAAATGAAAAAATCGTCAAACTTTATGCTGCAGCTGGTTACGGTCAAAAAATTTTGTGATTTTAATATATGGGTGCGGTGACGGCTTAAGATCTCAAAGAAATCTTCTTCTCAATTCCATTAACAATTAGATTATTTTTATTAAGATAATTTTAAATATGATATATGATATGAAAGTAATATTTTTAAAAATATTTAAATTATTAATATAAAATTTGATATTTAATGAAATTACTGATGAACAATTCAATTACAAATTGGCATAACAAATCTTGTGGGGTACCTAAGTTACTTAGACGACTCATTTCAACCCACAAGATTTTATTGATTTTATCAACAATCACATGATGGGTGTTTTACTTAGGAGGTTGTGGACCAAGCAAAAAAAAAAAAAAAATGGACCACATTAAACATCTACTTGTATTTAGTATGGTACTATAATTTTTGGTAATTTGGCAAAGGTTGACTGCCATTTCGCCTGCCTGGAGGCTTGAGCCAGGGAGGAAATTCTTCAATTTCTTTCAATTATTGATAGTTGTATCATAGAAGAAATCAAATAAGCCCAACTAATTTGACCAACTGGTCCATACTACCATTTCCTTTTAATTTTCTATTTTTTTGGGTCTTTTATTGATTATTGACTTTAGAGTTTTGCCAACTAATAGTATAAAGACATTCTTTAAAATTAATTATTAAGATATTATTTATAGTAATATTTTATATTGAATACAATAATTTATAGTTAACATATATTTTCAATGGACTGGAAAAAAATTATTGTAAAAAGTTTTCCTCATAAAATTCTTAATTTTATCAAAATTAATTATTTAAGATGGGAAAATTAATTTAATGGTGGACAAGTGGTTGGCCTGGGTCCATTCAAACATTATGGTCATGAATTTATTATTTTTATGAATTATGGTCATCTATTTAATAGCTAAACAATTGGATCTTAACCCTTTTCTATTTGTATTGCTTAAAGTTAACAACTTAATTCGTCTTCGATAAATTTTAATTCAAATTGATTCATAAGATTAATTTTTTATATCAAATTTAAGATTGAGTCGAGTTGGATAATATTAAAAAAAAAATAGATTGGGGTTCAATATATATATAAGTTATTTTTAATTAATTATTTAATTATATATATAATTTTATATTTATATTAAAAAAATATTTTATTAATTTTATGTTGGATCGAGTCGAATATGATTTATATAATATTGGATCGGATTGGATTCGAATATGAAAAAATAAAAAAAAAATTGAGTTTAGTCAGGTTCAAATTTTATAAATATAAAGTCGAGTTAAATTAGGGATGAACAAAAATTCATCTTGTCCCGACCCATTATCATCTCTAGTATTGACAAATTCACTTAACTAATTACAAATTTATATGAAATAAAAATTATTAAATTCAATTGATTTATATAATTATTTTTAATAAATAATATTTATTAAATTTAAAATTAAATCTTAATACTTATAATTTTTATCATTAAATTAGGTTCTCATTTATTTAAAAAAAAAAACTTATATAATATGAACAAATACATTATTTATATAAGTGTCAACTTTAAATTGATAACCAACCATAAATCATTAGTATTAGCCATTAGCTACTTCACCCTTTTTTTATGCAAATATTATATTGCAAGTCGGTGTCTATTATGCATTCCACTTCTTTATATGCATATATGTTGCATGTTTGGAATTTAATATGAGCAAATATATATATATATATATATATATTGTTTTTCTAGTTTTTAATAACTGTAATATAGTTTATGTTGACTTGATCACCTACTTTGGTCTTAAAACTTTACCTCGAAACTTGGGTGATTGTTCTGAGAATATTACATGCTTTGAATTTTGGATTTGGGTATATGCAAGCATGCAAATGTTGAAAATTCTTTATTCTCCTTCTTTAGAAACTCTTTCTTGAAATAATGCCTCTACAAAAATGTTGGGTGCATTTCATCTGCCTTTATTTAATGTTAGTTAAAATCGCAATAGGTGTATTTTTAAATATCTGATTATGATTTTGCTGGTATTTTTATTTAGTACAATTGATTTTTATGCATTTAAAAGTTTGAAATTAATTTATATTTGGTTAAAAAAATGATAAACAAGTTGAAGATTTCATCAAGTAAAATAAAATTTTATTTGCTAACAATCATGCGATGTATTGATAAAATGTTGAATTTTTACTTTTAAGTTTAGTTCATAAAATAAATAGAAAAGTAATAAATGGTTATTTTGGTGGAAGAGTGAAAGATAGTTATCTTGTTGGAAAATAATAGAAAAAGAATAACTGTTTTATAATTTGGTTGTTGAAATTGAACGGTATAGGAATATTATTTCGATGATTAAAATTAAAAATAGAATACATAAAGAATAAATAAAAAAAGCACCATTTTCTTTTATAATAAAAAATTAATATTTTTAAATAAATGTAATTTTATTTTTGAATAAAGATAAATATAATTTTTATTTATTGATCAATAAATTTATTTAATTTTTATAATCTTTCATTTTATGAAGTTTTTTTTTTTTTCCCTTTTCTTATGTTTTTCCTCTCCCCAAACTTGATTATCAGCTACAGATAAACCCCTCTCCAACAACCAGATTTGACCAACATTGTGACAATCCGGCCTTTTGCTAACAATCGACTATCGTCGCCATGAGAAGACCACTGCCATGGTCAGATTTGCTTGATAGAATATCTTGTTCATGCAAACAACGGTCAAATGTGGTTATCAGTGCTCCAAGAAGGCTACTACATTGATGGTTGGTTGCAGTTTTCGTTGATGTTTGGGCACCGGATTGGTGTGGAAAATATATTCCAATGTCTGTCTCTCTCTTGATGCTTGTGTATTTGTCAAAATTTTAAAAAGTAATAACAATGATCTTATTCCTGAACTAGAAGAGACTAATCCAATCACTGGAATGGCTATTCCGGATCCAAAGGGAATACGAATTGAATGGTTATTCCATGAAATATTGAAATAGCGGCGGAATGAATCCAATCAAAGGTAATGTTAGTTCTAACGACATAATTCAATCCTTAACAATTTTAAATAAAAAATAATAATATATATATTTTTGTCTCCGTGCAAGTCAAGAGTTGGTATTAATAATTCTTAAAAGGCAGTAATTTGATTTAATTGTAAATATATTTTTAAAAATTATGTAAATAAAAAAAAAAAATAACAGTCCATTTTAATCTTTTTAATTTTAAAAAGAGCCACCAAAATAAAAATACACATATTTATATTCTATTTATTCACTTATTGGACACAAAGTTGGTGCTGGATAACCAAGAAGGAACACCTCAGGGAAGATGAAGCTAAGAACTCTCTAATCTATAGCATTTTTCTCAACTTTTTCTTTTTTCTTTTCGTCTTTTTTTCTTCTTCCTTCAATTAGCTAAAATTACTAAAAAAGAAGATTGAGAAGAAGAGGAAAAAATTTAAAATAAAAAGAGAAAATAAAAGACTCCAAAAGGCCAAAACCGCATCTGAAAGACATAATCGGGGAAGGGGCAATTTTCAAGATTTGATTTCAGGGAAGGGAAAGGTATAGACACCAAATAAAACAAAGGAAACCCAATTTGATAGGTAAATTTGTTTTCTTTTTCCCAGAATAATTAATCGATTTTTGTTGCTATGTCTGTATTGGATTTTTGTTTCATTCTCGTAAATTCCATCACTGTTTTTTGGTTCATCGAGGGTTATCTTGATCTTTCATTTCAGGAAATCAGATTCCCATTGATTTGCAGATCTGTTTTAGCTTCTGGTCGTTCTTGTTTTGTATATATGGGGTAAGTTTTCTGGGTTTTTTTTTCTCTTACGATTTTGTTATTTCATGGGGCTTTTCATTGTCAAGTTTGAATTATTTATTTATTTTTATTTTGCTGGTTGGATATATTTGTATATTGCAATCCTCTTTGGTTGGTTTAATGTGGGTTTTGAGTAAATGGAACACTTATTTTTATAAGTTGCCTGGACAATAGAGGAAAAGAATTGTATATTCCACATTTTAAGTCTTTGAGTTTAACATTCACTTGTGAACATTTACGTGAAAAGAACTGAAACCCAATTTGAATATTTGTTTTCATCCTGCCTCTTTTTTTATTCTTAAGGAATTGGCATGCTCAGCTTGGTTCTTTAATAATATGATTTTGTAGGATTTACTATGTTGATTGTTAATTTGTGTCGTATCTAGTGTCTTTGCAACCACTATGGTTGTGTTTGGGAAAGGAAAACCAAAAGTTGATTTAGGTTTTGATGGATTTAAGTTTTCTCACCTTCCAAATAATCATGATTACGAGTTACTGGTTTTGGTATGTTTGATATAGTCATGGAGTTTTATGTGCTGCTTATTAGTGTTAGTAATTGTGGATTTTTCTGATGTTGTCTAGGGGTTCTGCTGTAATAGATAACTTTTTGTATTAAGTTATCATCGTTGATTTTTATTAAGATTGATAATATATGGCCTACCAATGTTTCATTTTCTAATTTGTTATATGTGTTGAGCCCATTATTGAGGGATATTTTTCTTAGTATTCCAGCCACAATGCTGGGCGTTATTGTTCAAGGTCAATGCATGGTTTCAGTCATAGATTTGATTGGTTGAGTTTTCAGATAAAATTGCCAGAACAGTCCCTTGAAGGGAAGCTTACTTCTTTAGAGGGGCCTTTCTGTAGGTTTTATACAGAATTAGCTTTATTCCAACAAGTTGAAGCTTGGGTTCAAGTTTAAGAATGTTGCATTTTTATGAATAGTTCTGCTTAGTAATAGGCTGTAATAGATGAACCTAATAGGTATATCAGAAGTACTGTATCTTGATGTATGCTTTTTGTTGGTAATATGGCTCTGCTGGATGAGACTAAAATTAGCACATGCTTGAGTTCTATAGGCAAACATTAGAACAAAAGGTTTTCGATTAAGTAGGTCTGAGATAGAGTACATGGAATGTGAGTTCAGAAAAGAAGGAATGTTAATGGAGCAACAATAAAAAATGGAGAACAAATCCTATTGCAAATTGAACAGATTCTGTAGTTTTGCTCAATCATGTAGAATGAGGTGGCACTGATGGAAATGTTACTCACAGGAGCCACAAGTAAAGTGGCTAAAATGGAGAAGCGCTTTAGAAGTTGTGTGGGCAAAGTACCTCTTAAGCTCAAGTGAAATTTCTAGAGGACAGCTTGAAAACCAGTGTTGCTTTATGATAGCTAATGTTGGGTTTTTAAGTATCAAAGTAAACAAAAAATTAGTGTGTCTGAAATGAGGATACTCCAAATGGACATATGGATATGCAAACAGTTAGGACTAGAAGATGGCTGCAGTTAAGAAATGGGGTTGCTAGTGCCAATTGAAGATAAAATGAGACATATGTTTAAACTGGTTTGGACATGTGAGAAAAAGGCTTGTCAATGCTTTTTGTTAGATTCTGTGATTTAATGGAGAATGCTTGTACTAAAAAAGGGGAGACAGAAACCAAAGAAGACATGGGAGGAAATTATCGGAAAGTACTTTGCTGTGAATGATTTTACTTAGGATATGGTCCCGAATAGAATACAATGGCGAAATTTAGCTTACTGGATGCTGTGGGAAAAGGCTTTGTTGTTGTTATTGTACTATGTACTTTTGGCTATTTTGGGTGGTGGCTTGTTTCCTATGCCCTCTTAGCAAGTTATGTTATTTTGAAACTGACGTCTTCTTGTGCTGTTTATTATACTTTACATAACTTTCTTGTGGCCTTCTGAATTTATGTAATTATCATTTGTATCTTCCTGATGAACTTATAATCAGGGTATTAAGCCCAGCTTTAATAGTTTTTGGTGGCTGGTACTAATCATTTATACGATCATGTGTGATTTGTAACAGAGCAGTGGTTTTCTAGGATGCTATAAGAGGCCCACTTTCAATCACTCGGTGAATGAATCATCAAAAGGATTAAAAGTTCAAGAACAGAGAGTGAGGAAAAACAATATATCAGAAGATTTCTGGACCACTAGCACTTGTGATATGGATAACAGTGCAATGCTGTCACAGGGAAGCATCTCATCAATCAGTACAAGCAACCAGACACTTGATCTCCATGGCAGTGCTGCAAATGCTAATGCCCACTCGGAATTTGTAAATCATGGCAAGTTCTCATTTCTTAAACTACTTTGGTTGGATTAGACAGCTCTATGAACACTTAAACTTCATTAGGATTACCTTCCTATTTGGATAGTCCTGTTTGGACCCCCTCTGGCACTAAAACAAAATGAGACTGTATTTGAACCATCTTATAACTGCTCTTGGTTGCAGGCCTTCTTCTCTGGAATCAGACTAGGCAGCGCTGGGTAGGAAAAAAGAAATCTGAAAATCAGCCGCAACGGGTTCAAGAACCCAAACTAAAGTGAGTTCTTCTCAGAATATATTTAATTAGTGTTTCTATTATTCTCATGACTTTAAGATCTCAAGTACTATTCTTCCTATGAACTCTCATCCACTTGGAAAATGATCTTTGTCCAGATTTGTGTAGTTGCAGTTTAGAAAAAAAAATATATTGGGTGTTAAAATTTTTTATTTTTATTTTTTTATATATATTGTTTACATTCTAGAATGCCTCTAAGCGAGCATTTTGTTTGGAATTACAAGACATGAATCAATTTCCACTTAGCTAAGTTCAAGTGGTGACCTTTGTTTTATCATCATTTTTCATTTCTTTTAAGAGAATAAATCCTTATTTCTACAAATTCAATTTTCAGCTTCGAATCTTGTGGGGAAGGGAGCAGATTTAATTGTTCCTACTTTTTGGCAGGCTTTAACATGGAAAGGTTGATTTGTGCTACTAAACTTTAAAATTTGTTTAAAGAATAAATACAATAATGACAATAACCTTTCCTATGTGCTATTGACTGTATGAATCATATCTTTTCACAGTGCTTTACTATCATATCCTCTATTAGCTATGTAAAAGTAAGGTTCGTTTTTATGGTTACTATCTATGACTTCTTTGGTCTTTCACTTCACCCATTGACATTGACTTTCTCCATTAAGTCACATCTTTCTTCTTTGCGAATATTGATATTTAGTTTCCCAGCATTCATTGCTGTAGCTCGTAAGATTTGAAGATTAAAAAGAATCATATCTTTCCACTGTGCTTTATTAACTACCATATCCTGTATTGGCTCAGTAGAGTAAGGTTCATTTTTAAGGTTACTGTCTATGACTTCTTTGGTCTTTCATTCCACCTGTTGACATTGGCTTTCTATGTTAAGTCACATCTTTCTTCTATGGCTATGTTGACATTTGGTTTCCCAGCATTCATTGCAGTAGCTCATAAGATTTTAAGATTAAAAAGAAGCAAAAGGGAAAAGGTTAATGTTTGTATGTTCACAAACACGAGTGATACCTGCAATAATGCTTAGTACTTGCATAATTTTTCGGGTACCTTGAGAGTTGTATCAAGTATCCTGATTTTAGCAAATAGAACCTGTATTTTAGGTAGTAAACTTCGAAATGGAATTTTGGGTGTGCTGAGGTAAACCATTTCTGGGACATAACCCCTTGATCATTTATGAACTTTTTCCTTTATCTTGTCAGCACTCATTGTTTGTGCCTGGTTAAACAATTCTGGCTTTGCAGTTGGAATGCAACTTACGAAAGTTTACTTGGAAGCAACAAGCCGTTCCCTCAGCCTATTCCTCTTGCTGTAAGTCCCAGTGCCAGCATGCTCATAGAATCATAAACTGCCTGCTTACCCGATTTGTGTTGTCATGAAATTTGACAGGAAATGATAGATTTTCTTGTGGACGTCTGGGAGGAGGAAGGATTATATGATTGATCAACAGTATAACAAGTTCTTTTGAAAGATGGTTAGATATTAATATTGATCTTATTGTTGTAACATTTTAATTGCTCCAATAGGGAAAAGGCATTAGAGCGTAGTCTGGCTTGTGTGTCAACTGTAACAATTTCAGGGTCTTGCCTGTCTGCCTGTGGCTTCCTATTTTCTATTTTGTCATTTTTCTCCCTCAACTCAAGGGGCCTTTGGGACATGCCATTGTATTGGATTGGAGCTAATCCAAAAAATTACTGGCTGCCTCAGGTGTTTAAGGCAGCAATTTTTTTTGCAAATTTTCTTGCATAGGTTATCAGTAACCATACAATCCCATTGGAAAGTATCAGGTTGCTTTCATTAATTTTAACATGTACTGACAGAATAAGTGTGATGATGAAATGTCCAACATGTTTAGTATGTCCCATAGGATCTTACCTTTCTGAGACTGTTTCTCATTTTGATATAATTATGATAGCGAGCAAGGACCAATTACTCTGGTTTCCATTAGTTGTGCAATTAAGATGAAATAACAGGGAGGTTTTCCCCCTCTATATGCCTACAAATCTGCCTTTGGGAAACGGGATATGTTGCTCGAGTCTGGGCGGGATTATATGCAAGAAATAGAAGGTACTTGCTAGGGAATTCGGCATTGATATGTGATGGTTTCTTATTAATACCCAAAGGATCGTAGGGAGAAATTGTAGAGAGGATTATGCTTTTTATCTAATTTTACTTTTAGAATGAGTCTTAATATGAAAGTTTTAGACTAAAAAAAAACTTTTAATTATTTTATTTTTAAAAAAAATTATATTTTTATTGTGTTCATTTAAATTTAAATTTTTTAATTTGTATTTAGATAAATTTTTATTTTAAATCAAAGATTGATTTATGTTAAAGATTTATTTGGATGTAAATTTAAAATTTAGAGTTATTTAGATAAAATGATAAAGTTTAAGGAATTTTTAGTTATTTTAGGCATTTAGTTAATTTTTTATATGAAAAAATTGATTCTAATGAAATTGGAACTTTATTTTTTATTTTCCAATTTTAAAATAAATAGAGATTAAAAATCAACATATATTACTTGCCCAAGATAAAGAAAAAGATGAAAATAATCTTAATAATTTGAAATATAATAAGATAATATAATACGAAATGATACGAATAAAAATATAAAAATAATATAATTTAAATTTTAAAAAAATCATAAATAAATTTAAAAATATATATTATATTTTTATATTGATATAAATTAAAATATATATTTTTTATATAATTTATAATATAAATATAATATTTTGTACGACGATATGAATTCTTAGGGTCATATGAAAATAAAAGATCCCTTGTAAAGTGAGAAAAAGACACAGCATCAGCTTCAGATTCCATTCCCTCCAGGTCACTCCTCAATAGTAATAATTTGTAATGTTTGAGAAGGTCCAAGAACTATCTTTCGACAACTGTCTCTCAATACGCTGATATGGGTGTGACTTTTTCGATGTGTCTCCACCGGCTCCTAGAAGCTCGCAGAAGACTCCGCCAATCGTCCAAAATCCAAAACCCAACAAGCCAACACTGCCTTAAATTTCCTCCTGACACTTCGATGGCAACAACAACAAACATAAACGTAAACAGAAACAAACAAAAGTGCCACCACTGTCTCAGTCTGAACTTAATTTCCAACACTTGGGAACATAACATATCATTAACTCTTCACGACAATGGCACTGGTTCGTTTGGCTTTGAGAAATTTGCAACAAAGGGTTTCTTCTCCTTCATCATCATCTTTTTTGGGTCATAACCTAGGATAGAGGAGTGTTGATGGGGTGCAAACGCAACGTTGGAATGGTGAGATTTTGAAGAGGTTTATGGCAACAGCTAGCGGAAAGGTCTCTGATGATAAAAAAAAAGGCAAAGAAGTATCTGTTTCTGGAGGTGAAAAAAAATTCAGGCTTTTCCCAAGGAGGAAAAACAAGAGGAGTCTATGGAATTGGAGGAATAAACAACATGACTATGCTCCTGAAGTTTATGGTATATCATCTCTTTAGTCCTTGATTTCCTTTCCTTGTTCTTTTTAATTACAAATTAAGAATAAATCAACGGATTCTTTTTCCTTTTCTTAGAATTCTTCCCATCGGGCCTTGGGAATGCACTCTTGCAAGCTACTGAAAACATAAACAGGTTGTTCGACAACCTGAACTTGACACCTTCGCAGCTGATGAGGAGAGTAAAAGAGCAAGATGACTGCTACAAATTGCGGTACGACGTGCCAGGGCTGACCAAAGAGGATGTTAAGATCACCATTGATGATGGGGTTCTAACCATAAAGGGAGAGCATAAGGAGGAAGAAGAAGAAGGATCGGACGATGAGCACTGGTCTGTCAGGAGCTATGGATACTATAACACAAGCCTTGTGCTGCCTGATGATGCAAAAGTTGATGAAATTAAGGCTGAGTTGAAGGATGGTGTGCTTTCTATTATCATTCCAAGAACCGAACAACCCGAAAGGGATGTGAAGGAAGTTCAAATCCAATGACGGGTTCATGTATGAACTTGATTGTACAGTTACTGTTTCTGATGGTGTTTTCTTGTGTTGTGTGTCATGATGAATGAGTTTGTGTGAATTGAAAATGAGAAATAAAAAGTTTGAAAGTGTTGAAAAAGGAAATTACATTATACATAGTATAAAAAGGGACAGCAAGTAAAAATTTAAAATTTCAACTTTTCTCTCAAAGAAAAAAGATATAATCTTAAAATAGAACACAGATATTAAAAGTCAGTACTTCATTCGTTCAATGTAAAAAGAACGACAGATAAAACTTGAATCCCAGTTTCGATCAATTATCATAGCAGCTAACCTCATGCAAAGAAAATTGAAAATGAAGTTACTACTGTATCTCTCAATGGTAAGTAGTTGAACTGATCGTCCTCAGCAGATAAGAACATTTGTTTCTTTCTGGTGTGTAAGAAGGAACTTGTTGGCCTTACTGGCTGTTCGCTAGTAGCTGTACGGCTATCCAGCTGGTCAATTCGTTTGTCTTTGTCTGATCCGTGGGTCAGACCTTGTTTGGCCATGTGACGTTTATGCCGTGAAGTCACGTAGACTTCTATTAGATTGCAGGTTTCATGGGCTTGATTTTATTCTGGGCCTTGGCCGTCGGAGAATAATGGCAAAACACAACTCAACCAGTAAGTACTATATATGTCGACTATATGAGAATATCTTGCAGGAAACATTATTGATCACATTCATCATGTATTCAAATTTATATTACATTTAATGGTTTTTATTTTTATTAGTTATTTTTTGTACTTATTTACTTTTTTGAAGGAAAGTAAAATCACGCAATTGATTAAGAAGAAGTAAATTTATTAAAATCGGAATGTCATTGGAATGTCATCTATAATAATAAAGTTATTTAGATTATATTGAAAAGAATAAAATCCAAAAACATATATAATAAATGACATTTATAATTTTAATAAATTTTAAATTAATTATTTTTTATTAAATTAAAATATCCACTAATAGAGCAATGCAAGCAAGAGAGAAAAAATAAAATATTAAAAATATAGAAATAATATAATGATTTTCGACCTTAAACATTTTTTTTTTACTTAAAAAATATATGGTGCGAAGTTTTTTGGTTTAAATTTGAAAACCAAATTTTTAAACTGAAAACGTAGAACCTATTTCAACCGCAATGCTAAATTAGATTTAAATTCATGCGAATTAAGGTCAGATTTAATGGTTATGAGATAAGAAGGGTCAGTTCTTGCTAAGAAGATGAAAACCCATGTTGAGTTTTCATATGTATCAAAATTAAGAACAAACCTAAAACCAAACAATGTGCTAAGTCCGTCCATATATTATAATAGAAAAACGAAATAAGAATTTAGATCAAGGAAGTAATTGTGCTGCTTCCAGGAAGCAGTTCGATTTTCCTTCTGAAACCAGGACACTGAACCTGATAAGGGTAACCTAGCTAACATATATATAGCCCTTTGTACCTACAGGCCACACATGTATTTTTTTTCCTTGCTGTTAACCATACCTGCAAAGGTTGGCGTAGCTTGAAAATTCAGTCTGCTTCTCAGTCCTCCCTAGAGATACTCACTGCATGGTTTTAACAACATATGCCAATTCCCCAAATACATGTTGTAAAGCTGATTTTACTTAATTTTTTTTTTGCAATCAGGAAACTGATCATATGAGGGAAGAAAAGGATCATCCGTCTTGTCTTCATTTTATTTCATTTCGGGTGTACATTTTGATTATACATGCTAGTACTAGTGTAGTACTTTTTTTTTACATTCTACGAGTACAATACTTAAGTTTTTAATATACGAATGTGGGGTACCATTTACCTGAGAGAAAAGGAAAGGTGAAAAAAAATGAGAAGTACTTGAAAAGCTTCAGAGATGAAGCACAGTTTTCAAAAGGCGATTAGGTCAATGCTGATTTCTAGTACAAACAGGAGATTTCTGAGGACCTGAGAAACTTCGATATTGCTATATCACTCTAACAGTATATTAAAGGCAATTTCCCAGATTAAAGCAGCTTCCCGTTGGGTTGCTTTCACAGGGAAAAAAAGTGTTACGGGTGTGTATGGAACATTTTGCTGTCTGTGCACGATAATACAATTACTCTCATCTGCCATTACTTATTACTCTGCAATTTTTAAATTGAAAATAAAAAAGTAGCATATGAAAATGAGGTGAGAAACTGTGTAATTTGGTACAGAATTGAACAATGAAACCCTGAAATTTTGGTTGAATTAAGCCGGCTACCATTATTATTATTTTTTTTAATAAAAAAAACCGCAACTTGAAGATATGCTAAAGAATTGTAAATATTGAAAATTAAACTTTAAATCTACTAAATATCATCTATTAAAACTGATTACATGATCCAGTCAAATTAAGTTTCGGTCCAGCCAGCTACCATTATCGAGTAATATAATTCCATAAAATAACAAAATTTTGTGTTTATTAATCTTCACACTTTTTTTTGGGATTCTTTTACCTTCTTCTGTTGCCAGTTAGGTGACAGGGTGAGATAATGGATGGTCAAAAATGATCTGTAAGTCGTTCAAGTGTTTAAAGTCAAGTGAACCAGTTTCCCAAAAAGACCAACAAAACCATTTTTTTTGCCTTTTTCAACAAAGAAACGCTTTTAATTGGTGAACAAACCATTTGCACCGCAGACATGTCTCCTTTTCTACAGGCAACAGCCCTTCAAATTGTTTCAAACACAGTATATAAATTCATGGGAAAGCTCGTCAATTCTACTCCCTGTATTAATCACCCAGTCCCACATCCTCTTCAAAACATCTCCACTCTTTCTCCCTCTGTCTCAACATATATATCCCTGTCCTCACAACAACCAACTTTGTCACATTACAATTAAGCAACCAGTATATTATCACACCAAAGTTCTCCAAATAGTGATGGCTCCATCAAGAATCTACTCCAATGACCTTAAAGTTGCAGTCACCGTGGCTTTCGTTTTCTATATTTCATTTCTGCTTCCATCAGCAGGTAATTAAATCCTAAAACTATTGAGATTCTGTTTCAGCAATTATATATTTTTCCTTTGGGTTCTTTCTTCGGTTTCAGGGTTTGAGTATTATTGTTATCTCTTTTGTAGTTGGGGCACTAAACCCAGGTCACAGTGAGAGCTCGTCGCAGCAAAGTAATATGGTGTTGGGGTCAAAGCCTCCTGGTTGTGTGAACAAGTGCTTGAGTTGCAGGCCTTGCATGGCTACTCTAGTCATTGTTTCCCACCAATGGAAGAATTTCAGAGCAACATATCATGGTGATGAAGATGAAAGCTATTATCTCCTCTCATGGAAATGCAAATGTGGGGATAAGCTCTTTCAACCTTGATCATATGACCCACAACACACCATTTCTTTCAGCATCCAGCTCTTCCAAGTTATAAATATATTAAACCCTGCTATTTATATGTATAAACAGTACTACTACTATAGATACCAGGTTAATCTTCTTATTGCTAGCCATTTGAGAAGATGGTATGGCAATTTTCAGTTTCCTACTGTATATATGGAAAATCTAGATGTTTGCAGTCCCTCTATTCATTTTCAGATTCCTAGCGTGTTCCAATTATCCAATTCCATGCAAATCTGTCGCATGAAACGACTGATCATCTCTGCCTTTCAACTCAACTATAAAGATGGATACATGAAGCTTTCCTTGATCAGATGCTAGTTACTGAAAACAATTATTTGTACCTCTGTCGATTCTCGATGTTTCTTCATAGATAATAGTGACACTGGCATTGCAGCAGGAACAAGACAAACAGGAACCTCCACTATCTGTCTTGTCTGCCATGAGTAGCTTGATATATATTATCCTACCGGTAAAACATGTGTTTGGTAAAATCTTGCTTTTTTAGGCAAGTTAAACAGGTTAAGACCTAACCTAGGCCAGTGAGGATTAAGTGAACATGTATAGTCATTTTTTTAATACATGCCTAGGAATTCACATAGATCAACCAAATAAAATTTAAAATACGAAATTTAATTAAACTAACTTCTGCAATCACCTTTAACTTACAATCTCTTCTATCCCCGAAAGGTCACTTTCTTTTAAATAGAAATAGATTTTACTTTTGCTTGAGCCATAAACCCCTTCAGTTGGCAGGAACAACATGGAAAATGGGATTAAATTTCATGGCTCAGGTATTAACTAATTTTAAGCCTGTGTGATGCACGGATAGCAATTATATATATATATATATATATATATATATAACTCAATTATATATAATATAATTAATAAATTTTATATAAAAAATAAAAAATTTCAATGTAAAATAATGAAAAAATAAAAATATTATAGAACAATATGTACTTACATAATATAAAGAAAAAGGCTTTGCATTGTATCTTATTTAATAGTGATATTTATATAAAATTAAATAATGTTTGACTCCAAATGATAGAAATTTATTTCACTTAAAATCAATTTTTCATATAAACTTTTGCTTGGTGTTTCTCCCTTGCTTTGGTGCAAGACATCTAGAACTCGCAATAAGAATAGCAAACTTTTAGATAGATGGTGTTCATCCTTTCATTGTATTCACAAAGGTCAAAGTAGTACAAATTAAATTTGCATTCTTTAACAAATAGAATTGGAACCATATATTATATATTAAACATGAATAAAACTATAAATGAAAAGTAAATAGGGGTAAAGCTGGCCAATTAATGTTAAAAAAAGGGGGGCCTTGATGCCAAATTCTTAATTAACTCCAAATTTAACTAAAAAATTTCAGCTGTTTACATCTATTAGAATTCTAAAGAAGGATCTTAATAGCAAGTTTGATTTACAAAAGCTTTAAGAGGGAGTTCTTAATGGCAGGTGTATGGTATAATAGTGAATCACAAGGTTAGATATGAGAAAAAGATGTAAGAGAGTTGTAGGGTTTTGTGGGATAGACACCTCATAAGAGTATTGGGGCTCTACGTCTTATGGGTGTGTATGTTTGTTTGTGAGTAGACTAGAGGAGATTGAGAGGGTCCACATAGGTATGGTGTATGAGAGCATATGAGTATGTGTTTGGTTATGTTGAAAGGGTGCACAAGGGTTTGAGTTTGTGTTTGTTTGGGTTGAGAATACTCCATAAGACTAGAGGAGATTGAGAGTGTCTTATGAGTATTGATTGTTGAGTGAGGTTGATGATTTGATGTATGTTTGTAATTTTCTACAACTAGTGGATCTTGTTTCTCATCCGTGGATGTAGGTCAGTTAGACCGAACCACGTTAAATTATTGTCTCTTGTGTGTTTGATTTATTATTTGATTTCGTTTTCGCTGATGTGATTGAATTTGAGGCTTTTAGCCCAACAAATGATATCAGAGCTGTGGTGTTCCCCAACAAGTGGTATCAGAGCTGAAGGTTTGAAACGTGACAAGAGTTGAAGATTCAACATGTGAAAAAAGTCGAAAGTTCGAGACGTGAAAGAGCTGAAAGTTTGAAATGTGGGAAAAGCTAAAAGGTTTAAGATGTGGGAAGTGCTTGGTTTGAGATATGGGAAGAAGTAAGCTTAGAGGAGCTCGATTCAAGAGAAGAGTTCGAGTTTAAGATTGAGGATTGGTTTGTATGAAGCGCGAAGACACAAGAGAAGATGATTGTGAGACTTTCATTGCAAGTGGAGCCAAGCATATCTAGCATGAAGACAGATGATTAATGAAATTTGAAAGGTGGAGATTGTTGAGAATATTGACTTAAATCTCATAAGAGATTTGTTTGAGATTTGTTAGAGATTTGTTTGAGATTTATCAGATATTGCTTGATGGACAAGAAGACTTGTAAAAGAAGAATTCCAAGAGAAAGAAGATTCTTAATAGGTAAGTTTGACTTGCAAGAGAAGAATTCTAAAAGGAAAGAGATTCTTAATAGGCAAGTTTGACTTACAGAAAAAAAATTCTAAGAGGAGAGGGGATTCTTAATGGGCAGGTTTGTATGGTTATAAATAGGTGAAGTCTCTACAGGGTTAGATATGAGAAAAAGATGTAAGAGAGTTGTAGGGTTTTGTGGGATAGACACCTCATAGGAGTATTGGGGCTCTACGTCTTATGGGTGTGTATGTTTGTTTGTGAGTAGACTAGAGGAGATTGAGAGGGTCCACATAGGTATGGTGTATGAGAGCATATGAGTATGTGTTTGGTTATGTTGAAAGGGTGCACAAGGGTTTGAGTTTGTGTTTGTTTGGGTTGAGAATACTCCATAGGACTAGAGGAGATTGAGAGTGTCTTATGAGTATTGATTGTTGAGTGAGGTTGATGATTTGATGTATGTTTGTAATTCTTTACAACTAGTGGATCTTGTTTCTCATCCGTGGATGTAGGTCAGTTGGATCGAACCACGTTAAATTATTGTCTCTTGTGTGTTTGATTTATTGTTTGATTTCATTTCTGCTGGTGTGATTGGATTTGAGGCTTTTAGCCCAACAAATGGTATCAGAGCTAAAGGTTCGAAACGTGACAAGAGTTGAAGATTCAACATGTGAAAAAAGTCGAAAGTTCGAGACATGGAAGAGCTGAAAGTTTGAGATGTGGGAAGAGCTAAAGGTTTAAGATGTGAGAAGTGCTTGGTTTGAGATATGGGAAGAAGTAAGCTTAGAGGAGCTCGATTCAAGAGAAGAGTTCGAGTTTAAGATTGAGGATTGGTTTGTATGAAGCGCGAAGACACAAGAGAAGATGATTGTGAGACTTTCATTGCAAGTGGAGCCAAGCATATCTAGCATGAAGACAGATGATTAATGAAATTTGAAAGGTGGAGATTGTTGAGAATATTGACTTAAATCTCATAAGAGATTTGTTTGAGATTTGTTAGAGATTTGTTTGAGATTTATCAGATATTGCTTGATGGACAAGAAGACTTACAAAAGAAGAATTCCAAGAGAAAGAAGATTCTTAATAGGTAAGTTTGACTTACCAGAGAAGAATTCTAAAAGGAAAGAGATTCTTAATAGGCAAGTTTGACTTACAGGAAAAAAATTCTAAGAGGAGAGGGATTCTTAATGGGCAGGTTTGTATGGTTATAAATAGGTGAAGTCTCTACAGGGTTAGATATGAGAAAAAGATGTAAGAGAATTGTAGAGTTTTGTGGGATAGATACCTCATAAGAGTATTGGGACTCTACGTCTTATGGGTGTGTATGTTTGTTTGTGAGAAGACTAGAGGAGATTGAGAGGGTCCACATAGATATAGTGTATGAGAGCATATGAGTATATGTTTGATTATGTTGAAATGGTGCACAAGGGTTTGAGTTTGTGTTTGTTTGAGTTGAGAATACTCCATAGGACTAGAGGAGATTGAGAGTGTCTTATGAGTATTGATTGTTGAGTGAGGTTGATGATTTGATGTATGTTTGTAATTCTCTACAACTAGTGGATCTTGTTTCTCATCCGTGGATGTAGGTCAGTTGGACCGAACCACGTTAAATTATCGTCTCTTGTGTGTTTGATTTATTGTTTGATTTAGCTTCCGCTAGTGTGATTGGATTTGAGGCTTTTAGCCCAACAAATGGTATCAGAGCTGTGGTGTTCCCCAACAATTAGTAATGAAGAAAAATCAGATAAAATCTCTAACAACTAAAAACTAAAAAGAGATAAAACGTATAAAATTATCTCATTCAAAAGTAAAAAAAAAAAAAAAAAAACTAATATTGAAAATGAATAGATAAATGGAGTATGAACATGCATAAAAAAGCGAATTAAAAAGAAATAAAATCAATCGACAAACATAACAAAGAAAAATGTTTATCAACATAAAAAGACATGTAATTTGGGTTGATCAAAATTTTCTTGATCATAATGAAATCAATACATTTGGAGGCTTTTAAAGACTAACCTCCTAGTACTCCTAGCATACAAAATTCTCTATTTATAATAAGAATTCGAGAGATTTTTATAAATTGAGAGTAATTTATGCAAAAAATTATAATGGATTATTAAATTTTTATGTAATATATCTTTTATTTTGAAAAATTTACACAATATTTTGAAAAATTTTGTAAGATAATAAATTATACCAATTGTAATTAATACTTTTATAGAAAGAAATATAAAAATATGTTTCCAACTAATTAGACTTCAATTTTAGGTTTGAATTTTTGACATTATATGCTTTATATATTCATTTAAATTAATAAATATATAAATTATTTTTTAATTAAATACTAAAATCGCAATCATTAAATATTCAATGCTTTTAATGACCGTAATTATACTATTTAGTAATTCTATGAATTGTTAAGAAATTTTTTATTATAATGTATGGTTGTTTTAGTTTTGATTTATTATTGAAGATATTTTATTGGAAATAAAAGATAAGTCAATCGAAAATTTTAAAAAAATATAATTAATGCATTAAAATATTTTAAAATTTTTATGAAATCAAATCAATTCGTATCATTTTAAAGATAAATAAATAAATATGAATAAATATAATTAATATAGGACATGTAACGATTAATAAAAATTGTTCACGTGTTAATATTATAAATCATTCACATTGTATATTTGTTTTATTAAAAATTTTAACTTTTATATATTTATATAAGATTTGATCATTAATTTAATAATTAATTAGAATTTTGGGTGTATGAGAAATTACTACCATGGCATGCAAATCAATGACTTCTAAAAATTCGACTTTGCCTTCAAAATTTCAAATCAACAGTAACATTTTTATCCAAAAAAAAAAAACAGTTTAACAAGTTATGAAAGCTAACAAATACCGATTGAGCTACAACTCTTGTTAAATGATTATATGTTTCGGTACTTATTAACTTTGGTCATTAAGTAACTATTCTTTAATCACCAAAAAAAATAAAAATAATTAGTCATCAAAAAGGGTTTCGTTTTGAAAAATGTAGGCCCAATTTCAAAATAGAAAAAATATTAATTATGGGGCCCAAAAACAAATGGGCAGCTTAATCTAAGCCCATCACCATAAAATGTAATTTACATTTCTCGGTTTCTATAATTTTGGTGGAATAGATGCCAGAAATGGAAATGGCCACCATTTTTTCTGCTTCGTCTTCTTTACACCACCACAAATTTTCAACTTGTTCAAAATCCAAATGTTTCAATTCAGATCCACTTCAACCGTTGATTGTTTGCCCTAAGTTTCATGTCCACAGTCCCTCACTCCCCGTACGCATCTGTTCCCATTCTAATACGCGCCTCCCACATTGTCTCTCGGCCGGCCCCGATCCACCTTCTCCGCCTGACTCCGAACCTCCTCAGCCCCCAGGTATCCACTATCTTTTTTTTTTTTGGTAATTATATATGCGTTTTGACTTGGATTAATTTGTTTTTATGATTAGTTCTGTAAAGTTTAGGCTTTGGATTTTTGTTACTGAGTTTGTCTTTTTTTTTTTTTCTTAAATTCGGTTTTAAAATTTCCCATAATTTTCCTTGGCATATTACTAGTTCAATTGGACTCTTTCTTGTTTGCTTATTGCATTTGAAGTCAAATTTTCATTTGTAATTGCTTTAAAGGCAGCCTGTTCTTGTGTCTTATGATCTTTTTCGTGGAACAGGGCTCACAGGTAAGTTGTCTAGTTTTCAAGATCGTGTTCAGATCTTCTTTGCTGTTCTTTTCTGGATGTCTCTGTTCTTCTGGGCCTCTGCAGGGGATGGGAGGAATTCTGACAGACCAAACAAAGGATCTCGATTTAGAAGATAACCTAGTAAGAATTTGATTCTGTATATATATTATATGTGAGACTTAGATAGAGTCGTACTAGAAATACATGAAAAAAATTCAAATATTGGTCATGAACATTTACTTTGTTTTCTTTCATTTCCAATTGCTTTTGTTATGTTACTGAAACATTTTCGTGTAACATCTTTGTGAATGAATTTCAAAGTCATTTCTTTGACCGTCTAAGAAGAAGATAAAGGTGAGATGCCAAACAGTGGCATTAAAATAGTTAAAGGAGAGTGTAAGTATAACTTGCTACATTTTTATGGTCCATTCTAGTTGTCGACTAACAGATATGTAAACTGTTTTTTGTGAATCAACATGCACTCAGTGATTTGTCAATGAGAGATAGAAAATTGTTTTTATTTTTTATTTTTTTGTTGACCTGAGTGTTTTCTAGTCGATAGCTTGCAAAACTTGATCCCAAGTTACTCTTTTTTTATCTATACCTAATTAGATATCACAAGAGTAACCTGTTACGTGCTTAAATGTGTAAACTTGTAATTCTTGGCATTCTTTCAAATGGCATTAATTTGATATTCTTTTGTTACTGCCATTACTGAATGATGAATTGCGTTTTTATCACTTATTCTTCCCTTAAGTTCATGGTATAGATCATAATATGATTGAGATTTTGTTTCTTCTATTTGTTGGATAATTGGCCTACCAGATCATGAATTATGACATAAGGGCATTTCATGACAAGGTTGAGGGTTTCTTTATTATAACAAAGAGGAATAATCTATGTTTTTGCAGTGATCTTCGATTTTGATGATGTATAATCCTCGAGAAATTGTACATGTATAATTAAATTTGCACTCTGTCTATGTTAGCTTGATAAATTTCTGACAATCAAGGTCGTGAACTTTGACATTTGAGGCTTTTATGATATGGTAGATGGGAATCCCATTGTGTAGAAGTAAGACTATCCATCTTCAGTTTAAATTTGGGAAAAGTTTTGTATATTCGCCTTGGGGCTCTCAGGAGATGATAGTGTATAAAGGTTAAATGTCTGTTGTAATGACAGGTATCAGTATTGATTAATGCTCATTAGTCATTAGACAAGTATAGTAGGAGAATGCTGCATATATCTGACCCAGTTTCTTAATACCATAATTTATTGTTCTTCTTGCTTAACATGGCAGTATGGCTGCTAATATGTTGTTGATAATTTTGAGCACCAGCATGGCCCAACTTCTGGAGTTAGAAGAAGGCTAAAGCTGGGCTAACTGCGAGTTTGCAATATATATATATATATATATATAATGATAAGTTGCTAGGCATAAAATTTTGAATAAACAAAAGAAACTCTTAGTTACTGCAAATAGCATCAACTCTAGCAATAGTTTTCAAAAGGCTACATTTTAACATTACTTTTTAATGCAGCTCTAGTCAGGTCGAACAAGCTATGGCCTTTTCACTAGGAAAATTTTTCGTATGCAATGCAACTTTTTTGTACATTGTACGAGAAATTCATATGGTTAATTAGATTCAATAATTGGGAGATGGGTTGTAGTCGATTTCAGAGAATTGATGTTTGTTTCATGTTCAATCAGTCTTTTTTTTTTTTTTTTTTTTTGGGGGGGGGGGGGGGGGGGAAGGGTGTTGGAGTTGATTATTATTAGTTGGTCCAGTAGTAACGGAAGATATGCAGCCTTAGTAAAAATAATAACTTTTGCTTCGGTCACTCTTTGAAAAGCAAAAAATTAAAAACCATATATGGTTGAGACCTCTGCCTTCCATTTGGTGGTTCAATAAGGCAAGACTGCTTGAATTTGTCTAATTTTTTCCTAAAAAATAGAGAATGAGATCAATTAGGTTTTGCAAAATTTAGTTGCCAATTCAGATGCTTCAGCTGATTGAAAACTAAAGTCAGAAAAAAAAAATGACTAGCTGAACGTGGAAGCAGGCTTGAATTTTCAGCCATTCGACTTGCGATTTAAAGAGCAAGGAGCTTGTAGACCAAGAGGTGCTTAGATATTTTTCTAGTCATCAAATTCTACAATTAAAAGTTTGGAAATAAACAGATACAAGATGAAAGAAAAGTGTATACTTTAATCTTCAATTGTCTATTATGAAAAATTGAATTCAACATAAAAATGAAGGTTGGCAGTGAGGAATGGGGATATCACTATCTATAGCTAGACCAATGCATTGCTTGTCTAACTCTAACATGGCAACATTGATGTATAAATTGGAAGGTTGCGTAAAGGCAGATTTGACATAAATCAAACAGTACCTATCTCTTCTTTTTCCCCTTGTTAATCTTGCATCTGACTGCAATAGTTTACGACAATGGGTAGCGATTCCCTTAAAACAAGTTAAAAATGGTGGGCAGTCTCTGTTTCGTTATCTCTCAAAAGCAAAGCACGCGTCAACTCTGGTTTGGAGGAAAATGAAGGCAACCTAAGATGACAATCAATGTGATGCTGACTACGCTGCCAAAATGAATCCAGAACTAGGACCGTCCACTGCTATTAACTGCAAACTGCAATCATTGCCTGACTGTGTCATCATACGACTCAACGTGTCACTGCCTTAGAGGGCCAAAGCTCATAACTGTGAAGTACAAACTCTATCTGGGCTTACATGTTGAATCCAACACATCCGAAACTTAATAAGGTGTTGTGATCTTTGTCGTTTATGGCTTAAGAACTCGTGCTTATCCAACGGGTCTGATTCTATCATTTACAACTTTTTTGATCTTCTTTAATAACTCCCACTTGCCTCTTTGCTCTTCTTAGTAGGGGAGCTTCTGTCTCCTCTGACCAACCTGTCTACAAGTGCTTACAAAAAAAGAAAAAATAAAATAAATATCTTTCAATCTGTTACTAACTAAAAAATCTCTTTCTGCCGCAGGAAAGAAGCAATTTTCCTTCTCTAGTTAGTTCGATTTGTGATTGAAAAGAACATAGAAAATGCTGCTGAGAGGCTCATCAACACCAATCTTAAACTCATGGTTACCATACTTAAATGACTGTTCATCACCTGAGCCAGACTTTCCAATTCTCCATAGAACCAAATCAGTGTCCTTTTACTCCCCATCTTCCGTAGATGACCATAAGCAGAAACTAACACAAACCTTAGCTGATATCGGTATCCAAAATGATACACCAGAACCAAGAAAAAAGAAGGGCAAAGCCATAATATCAACACCGCACTCTCTTGACAAACAAGCAAAGCAAGAAAGAGATCAAGAAAAAGAGTCAGAACCCAACTCTTGTTCAATCCGAAGACTGCTGTCAAGTTCTGGGTTGGGAGAAACAATCACGGATGGTGAAGATAGTACTGTGATGCAGACACCAGTTATGGGTGGTGGAGCAGGAAATGATAGTGGTAAAATCTGTGGTGGTGCTGGTGGAGGAAGAGGAGGATCAGGCGGTGGAGATGATAGTGTTGGCTCAGGGTTCTTTGAGAGTAATAATCATGGGAGTGATAGCACTGATGTTTACTATCAGAAGATGATTGAAGCAAATCCTGACAATCCGCTTTTGCTTGCAAATTATGCCAAGTTTTTGAAAGAGGTAAGAGATAAATTCTTAAGACAATATAGTTAGTTTGCTATTCAGAGAATTATTGTATTATTTTTGTTATTCCATGTTGGTATAGAAGTGTAGGAGGGAGGGAGGGAAAGGGATGATATTTTCTCTTTGCTGAGGCACTGAAAAATCTACTGCTTCACAATGTTTAAGTTTGCCACTCAATTGAACCTAATGTAATTAAGTAACTATTACTGTTTGCTTCCTCACAATAGGAAACTTTTTTTTTTTTTGGTATTTGAGATTGTCCGAATCGAACATGATCACTAAAACTAAGAGTCTAGTATTCTACTAACAGATTTATTTCCACTATCTGAGTTGAGATTTTAGTTTCACTATATTTTGCATAGATTTTCCTAGTTCCTAGTAGGCATGGAAAACTAATGTGAAGAGGAATGGTCTGATCAATTTGTTTTCTTCTTTGATTTAGTTGGAACATTCACTGATTCATCTTCTATTTGTTCACAGATTAGAGGAGATTTTGCCAGAGCAGAGGAGTACTGCGGCAGAGCAATTCTGGCAAACCCAAATGATGGAAATGTTTTGTCTCTCTATGCTGATCTAATTTGGCAAAACAAAAAAGATGCTCAGGGAGCCAAAAATTACTTTGATCAAGCTGTTAAGACTGCCCCAGATGACTGGTAAAATACCAAGCACCAACTTATCAGACTTGGTTCGTTTCATATGCGAAGGGGATGTTCCTTTCACATCTCATACAGCTATGTTTGTTGCATATAGTTTTCTTCTGTATCAAGCAATCATTTTTTCTTTATGTTGCCTGAAATTTTACTACATTTACAGCTCTTGGTGGATTCCTTGAATAGAGTTTGTTTCTATCCCTTAATTTTCCCTTTTTATAGAATCAAACGAGTTTTTGGAAACAAAGAACTTTTTGAATCTTTAGCAGCTCTATTTCCATTGTTAGAACTCATAATCACTTATATACAGCTGAAACTCAATATGTGAATTTCAATTTTGTCTACAGTTTTGTTCTGGCTTCATATGCAAAATTTCTTTGGGATGCTGAAGAAGTAGAAGAGGAAGAAGAAGAAGAAGAAGAGCATGAAGAGAGTGGACAAGAAAATGAGAACAGCTATATACCTCCTCCACATTTCTTCCTTCTACCTCCTCAACACCCTTCCATAACTGCAGCTTCCTAACTTATGTACTTACAAATGCTTTGGCTTATTAGGTTAGCTAGAGAACGCAGTAGATGAGAATATCTTCTGTTCTTTTCCTGACTGTATCTTGCTAGAACAATTCTGCCTACAAATATAATAAAAGTAAACGTTTGAATTAGTGAATGTTTGGAAGATTACATTTTCTGGAAATATAAGGCTATGAGCTTGTTGAGTATTCCCCATGAGGCACAAGAAATGATCTTTTTTTTCTGTCTTTTTCCTTATTTTCCTATAAGTTGGACTTGAATGTTGAAAAGGGCATGTTTAATTGAGAAAATATTAAGATTATCAGCCAATGTAAATGTTTAATTGGGACAAGGAAGATGATCAACTAATGTAACTCCTGATGGAGGTTTAGGGTGGCTCGGGTGGTTTTGGTTATCTAATTTCAAATCCAAACTCCTTTTAATTACTACAATTTATTTGAAAAAAAAAAATGAGAAAGGAAAAAGAGAAGGGAGAAAAAGTGCAAAACAAGAAAAATTTGTGTAAATGAGATGGTGATGTCCTCCAAACCAAAAATACGGGAAAGGTGTAATGCTTGATTTGAATGACAAATATTTTGTGCAAAAGTATCTTTATTAGTTTTCTGTCCATTTTATTTCACTATGAATAGATCATAGTCTTAGTAATCGATTTCTAAATTGTAGCTCAAACCGATGATAAATCTAGTTATTTATGTATTTAAATTATGTTTATTTTATATCAAGTTTTTATTACAATTCATATCATCACACCAAAGATAAAATACAATTTTTTTTATTTCGACAAATCCATACATGATTCTTGCTAAAATTTCAAATCATGCTCTTATCATATATTTTCTTTATGCTTTTTTTTCTATCACCATGTCGTGTTAAAATTATGAGATCTAACATATTTTCATGAGTAATCTTTCTAGATTTATGTAGTAAGTAATCTCATAAATTCTCTTTAATATCGAACATCTACTTGGTTAAGAGATTTTTTGAACCCATTGTAGCAATAAAAACAGTACATATCTTGAATCATATACTTGTTTTTTCCTGGATCCGCCTTCTGATAAATGAAGGTTAAAACATACCGTTCTTATTAGTTTAATAGTAAAAGGTTTAGCTTAACGCATGAATTTTGGTATTTGGGTTTGTTCTTCTCACATCTCTTTCCCTATCCCTAAGCTATGATATCTTTTGTAAAAAAAAAAAACAAAGCAAGCGACAGAAAGACCATGGATTGGGCAATACCACCTACTTTAGGATACATAATCTGTCAAGTCATTCAGCCAAACTATAACATATCACATGCTTGATAAATTGATGACTCTAATATATATCTTCTGAGATGGCTTTCTAATAATTGTACTTGCTAAATGTTTATAGCAACTTGATCAACATCATCATCCCACGTAATATCTAGGAGAAAAAAATTAAGGGAGGTCAGGTAAGTGGGCTCCTATTAAAACTCTTTTGAAATATTCTTGCTTGTGGCTTGTAGTACTATTCTCTTATCTCTTGCCCTTTACATGGATCATCAGCTATCCTTTTCTTTCATAGATAGTAGTGATGAGCTGATAACATATATTAATATATCCATATTTCTTTGATTCCCTTGGTATTGTCTGTAGTTATTATTCGGTATGAAGTAACAGAGGAAATATGTCATCATTGTAAACAATGCCTCATGGTGGTTGTTGCAATGCTTGGAATCATCTAAATTTTGGACCCATTTTATCTTAGCATTTCACACTACTTTTTATCTGTTGTGCAATTGGCTTTTCAGCTTACAAGATTGGCTCCTTTATTGGGACTGGCCATCATGCCTTATCTCTACATGGGAAATTAGATGTTTGTTTTCTTTAACAAAGCACAGTTCAACTGTGCTAGGGAAAAAAAAAAGAACAGTTTAACCTAAACGAGAAAAAAGTTAGGACCCTTTAGTATAAATGGCCATTGTTTAGGTTAACAGAGAGATCACAATATCTTGCAAAACATATATTTATCAGCAATTTTAGATTTTTTTTTTTTTAGTATGTTGTTGGGTTCAGATTAGACCAAATGAAAGAACTATTGCTCTTGCATGCTTGGAGAAAGGTATTCCCACTAGAATGCAAATAAGTGATGGAAAAAGGGGTAGATGGTTTATTTGTCAACTATTTTCACTCCCACTTGAATGTGAAATATTGCCATCAAAGGAGAAAAATCTGTCCACCATGACCAAACTGGCCTAGGGTATCAAATTGCTAATGACCATGGAAATAGTCTTTACCATTGAAAATTATCAACCTTTTCTTGTTCAATTTGTGCTTATCTCTTTCTTTCTCAAAAAAACATGTTGTTGAATATTGGGTCAGTCCAAGTTTGCAGAGGGCTTCCAGAAGAAAGGCCTGAAAGTAACTTTCTAAGACAAAAAATGCTGTTTATTTGTCAATGGGATCGCCTGAAATAGTAAGATTTAAATATTTGACTTGTAAGACTTAAAGTTTGAATTTCATTATTAGTAATCTTCTTTCAAAATGTAACTTGTTAAGATAAAAGATGTTTTTTCGTCATTGTCTGAATTGGTAAAATTCAAATATTTTATTTGTAAAATCTAAGTTTGAATTTCGTTGTTAATAATTTTTTTAATAGATGATTTATAAATCCAATATAAATTTTCTTTCATACTTACTAAATGTGTTGATCCTAAAATAAAAAAGACTTCCATTACCCTAAACTTTGGTGTACCCAAAAAATGCTATTTTTCTTGGCTTAACATTCGCAAGAAAAGAACAAGTTTTGAAATTAACAAGGTTGAAAGGACAGTTATTACAAGAGTTAGTTGGGATATCACAGTCAGAAAATTATTAGTCCTAAAGGAATATCTACTGCAACGATGCTCTCTCTCTCTCTCTCTCTCTCTCTCTCTCTCGATCAAAAGAGAAAGAAAACATTGCAACGACAAAAGTTCCATAACATTTGTATTAGTACTAGCAATTTTCCATATACAAACAAGCCACAAGGCCAGAGCCTGATTTAAGATTTTCTAATCATACTTGAGCTGAGCACCCAAGTCCGGGAATGAACTAATTGGGGTTAAATCATTTTGAGCAACTCTGGGACTCGTGAGCAAATGGCTCAGAGAAAAGGAGAGGCTCCACTTGAAAAAAACCTGAGTAAGCCCAAGCACCTGGAAGTGAAGAGATTGGGGGCTGAGTTACATCACAGAGACCTTCAAGCATCCGAACTACTTTACTCATTGGTGGTCTTAAACGCATTTCTGCTTGTATGCACCATAGTGCAACTTTTACAGCACTGACAAACCTTTCATCATTTTCATTAATATCTAGCTTAGGATCTATAATTTCTTTCAGATTTCCTTCTTCCAACATCTTGAAGGCAAAAGAAGGTAAATGAGCTTTCTCAGGAATTTCCCCAGGATCATAACTCTTCCTACCCCCGATGATCTCAAGCAACACCATACCATAGCTGTATATATCACTCTTCTCTGATATAGGATTGTTGGTAATCCATTCTGGTGCAAGATATCCCCTTGTACCTCTTAGTGTTGTATGTACCAGGCTTTCTTCACGGCTCAAAAGCTTAGCCAAGCCAAAATCTGATATTTTGGCATTAAAATTATCATCAAGAAGAACATTTTCAGGTTTTATGTCACAGTGCACAATCTTCAATTCACATTCCTCATGGAGATAAGCCAATCCCTTTGCTGTACCCAGTGCAATGTTGAATCTTGTATTCCAATCCAAAATGTTACTTTCTTCATTGTTCTTGAATATCCATTTATCTAGAGATCTTTTGCCCATGAACTCATAAACAAGAAGCCTGTGAACACCCTCAGAGCAGAAGCCTTTTAGCTTGACCAGGTGCACATGATGGATACTTCCAATAATTCTGACTTCAGCTTTGAACTCCTTCTTTCCTTGTCCTACACCCTCCAATTTTTTAACAGCCAATTGGGTGCCATCTGGCATCACACCTTGGTAGACTGAGCCAAATCCTCCTTGGCCAACCTTTTTAGAGAAGTTTTCAGTTGCCTTAGAAAGTTCACCATAAGTATAACGAACAGGCATCCCTGAAAAACCGTCCAGGAAATTATCCTCCTCCAAGTTTTCTTGAGCACATTCCAGCAATCTCTTCTGTTTGCGGTAGTAATAGAATCCCACATAAAGTAGAGCAGCAATAGCCAGAATTGTTGCAACCGCTATTATCACAACAAATATAACGTGCCTAGTTTCATTTTTGCTTCCTTCTTTAGCATGATTTTGCAAACCAGTTTCATTCCTTGAGACCTTCACATACGAAAGGAAACCACTAGAACCCACCTCAGCACGCTTCAGACTTCCTATTTTGTCAAACAAAAAGCAATTCCCGGTACCGTTTTCAAAGAACAGTGCAGAACAAGAGCAGTTTCCAAGGCAAGCTTTCTTGCAAGCATCTATACCAGAGTTCATATGGGGTTTGACAAACTGAAGCACAGAATAATCAAGCTTCTGACCAACATAGAGTAGATCTGCTGAATAGCAGTTGGAGATTATTGGTGGTCTGCAGTCGTTTTGGGCAACAAGAAGTTTGGGGCATTGACACACAGTGTCAAAATAGCACACATTTAATGGGGGACAAGCCTCTGGAATGTTGCAGGGATTTGTGGTATCTTTGTTGCCTCAGCAATTGTTCTACTTCCCTGATGAAGATTATAGAACGCAATTGCTCCATCTGATCCTAATTTGGCAGCCCATGTGACATTCACATCAGAATTTTCAGAGAGGTTTAACTTCCATAGCAAGCCTTTGTTGTGATCATAAAAGTTCCATGAGTTGGATACTAAACGGGCAGAATAAACCTTGCCGGTGAAATTTTTACTGGTTTTCCGGATTTCGTCTAGCAAGGACCAATAAGTTTGTGGAGTCTGGAACCCTGTGTACAAGACCAAATCCCCAGACTTAAATTCAAGATAATCACTCTTATCCATTCTGGGATAACTTTTAAGCGTCATTCCTTCAACAAACTCTTGGCCAGATAAAAGGGTATCAGTGGGATAACTAAAACTCTGCCAAAGAGCCCTTCCATTCTCCCCATGAAGTACCAAGTTACCTGAGTCCAGCAATTCCAGGGATTTGGCCCTTTCTCCGGTTGTGTTTGTGGCCCAAGCAACCTTATCTCCACTTTCCAGATAAACATTTCCATTTTTGTCAAACACAAACTTATCAGAATTGTCAACCAAGCCTCCTCTATTAGCAGTCCAAACAACTTGGCCGGTTTGACGATGAATGATAACCAAGACAAACTTTCGAGCATCCAGGGCAGTAAAGAAGCCAAAACCAAATAATTTACTTTTGGACAAGAGGAACCTGCCATCTTGTTCTACCCATTGCATCTGAGATGCTTGGAATCCTGGATATATTGAACCAACATGTTGATCGACAGCAATACAGATGTTGAAGGCTACAAGTAGATAAAAACAGAAGGTTCTGACTTTGAACAAACCCATAATTCCTGTAAATAAATACAAGCTGCTCAGCACCAAGTTTGCTAGCTACTATCCAAAATATTGTGCAAAGATTATCAAAAATTGAAGACTCAAGCTAAATTAAAAATACTAGTTAAAACATAGAAGCAAGAAAATCAGTACACAAAGATTAAGAAAAAAAAAATCTTTGCGTTTTAGGTTATATATCCCACAAAATGGAAGTGTGGGAAAATGGGTTTGCTCTCTGTCTGTTGGCAATGTTGCGGAGCGGGTTGGATTTTTATTTTTTCCGTGACCCGAAACTTCAATAATTTTATTCGATATTTGATCCATCTTTGCTTTAAAGTTTTAGGTGAAAAACTTTAGTACGTTAAAACTCAAAAGTTCTCATAATAAATGATGAAATTACGAAATATATAAAATTTAATCAATTAAAATTTAAATATCAAACAAGCATAAATTAATAATTATAATTTAAATATAATATATAAAATAATATAAATATTAAAGATATTTTGATAAATATACTTGATCGAATCAAATCGAGTTTTATATAAATTTGATTTTAATATGAATTTATCATTCAAAAAAATAAAATCAATTCGATATGACCCAACTTAAAATAAAATTTTTAAAAAATTCGATCTTAAATAATTAAATTAGATCAAAACATGATAGAATCAGGTTGATTTACTGTCCTCACTCGCTGGTAACGGCAGGAACCTTTTACATCTACAATTCTGAAAACAGATACAAGAAAATTTGAAGAGAAAATAAGCTCAACTGTATAAATAAAAAAAAAATGTCAAATCGCAAGGTTGATGTGTGACAATTCAATTCAGTAGAAAACGCTAATGGCAAAAGAAAAAACGAAAGACGGATGTACAAACACTCTTATGATACAAGCAAAGCTAAAAGCAAAAACAAAAGAGCACTAGCATTCCGGAAATAAAAGGAAATGAAAGAGCATTCTAAGTTATTACAACTTACAAGCGGGGTTAGAAATTCATAAGAGCTTTCTAGTAGTCTTTGATGGCTGATGAAGAGGCAAAAGAAAGATGGCCAGAACAGGTAATAGACACATTAGCAACCTCGTTTTTTTGGTTCAGTCCAAGAAACAGCTGGTATAGTGGTATAGGTAAGTTGGGACCTTACCTTTGGTTTTCTTGACTTATAAAGGCATAACCTTGAAGTAAGTTGGAAAATAAAACTAAAATCTACTATGGAAAATGAATACTAGACATCTTTCCTGTTTCCCTATGGAACTTGTGGAGGAGAAATAGGAAGAATGAGTCGGTAGGTAAGGACAAGTGGCAATGAGGTTATATATTTTTTAAAATAATTATTTTATTATAAATTTTAACTTAATTTTTATCATTAAATAAATACTAGTCAAAATTGCTACCCAAATTTGACTTATTATGAAGAAAAGCACTGATGTAGACGTAGTATTATTTGTTGCTGTGGAATAAAGGTGGGCGTACGAGAAAAACAATAACATATCAACACAAAGTCAATGGCTCAGAAATTTTCGTTTCTAGAAATTATTCTTGTGAATTTTCTTGAGGGTAAATTTCACATTTGCTATGTAATTTTTTTTTTAATCCTACTTTAACTTTTGAAGGGTTTTATTTAAATCTGTAATCGTTGTTTAAAATAATTTTATGTTGATCATGATTTTATTTAATTTTTCCTTAAAATTGACATAATGATCATGTTGTGATCATATAGATATTCTCTTGATTTTTCATATGGATATTTATTTCAATTATTAACAGAATAATGTAACAACTCCAAAATGAAAATGACCACTTTAAAGGATTAAATATTCAAATAAAATATTTAGAATATTAAAATTTATGGACGGATCCATGATTTTTTATCAATGGGGCAAGTATTTTAATTCAACTTATAAAATTTTTCTTTGAAAATAATATAAAAAGTTAAAAACAAATTAACATTTATAACAAATTTTTCTTTAAAATACAATTTTTTATGCCATAAATGCAATATTTGCACAGCTAAAATTAATTACATGGCTATTGATGAATATAATCTAAACACTATTATAGATAAATTATTTTTTGACACATGCACGTATATAAATATGTATATATATTTATTTAATAAAATTTTACTTATTAAATTTTTAAATATGGATATTATATGTGAAAGAATAAAAATCAAAATTTCCAATTTTATTATTTACTTTCATTTTTAATTCATTATAATGTGAAGAATAATAAATACTTATTTTCTCATATATGATGAAAATAATATTTTTTATATATAATAAAAACAAGAATAAAGACATAATTTTAGGTTAATTAAAGATCGTTTTTTTATTTTTTATTCTAATTAATTATCACTTTATAGGTTATTTATATAAACTCTAAAAGTTCTTTATTTGTTTTTCTTCAAAATTAATGTATATTATAATGAAATTACTTGTCACTCAAAGTATGGAGGCAAATATGATCCTTAATTCAATGGGGGGCTAATATAATAAAAAATTTTAATAGAGGTAAAATTTGAAATTTCTAAAATTTATGAGATTTTTTTATAATAAATCGAAAGAATTTTAGTATTTCAGTGAGGATAACTACCCGTACAATTTCATATATAAATCCGTCCCCGTTAAGAATTAAAATAAAATAAAAATAAAAGATTGGAGACTACAAATAGAATTATCTTGTTAGTATTATTGTACTATTTATTTTATAATTTTTTTCTTGTAAAAGTTAATAAATTTTAAATATATATATATATATAAAATAAATGGCAAAGAACAAATAACAAAAAATAAATAAGAGTTCGATTTGATATCACATAATAATCGATCAAAGGGGCACATGTTGAAGCGTACGCTGTCTAGATAAATTAACAATCATGCTGTTAAATAATATTTTTCAAGAGTTGGACATTGATGAAGTCGAAGATCTTTTTCCCATTATTTAAAGTTTCTTAGGTCAAAATTATAATGGTTATAAGAAATTTTAAAATTCAAATCGAAAATGATAGAAAATTATCGCCGGTTTATATATAGGATGGGTTGAAGAATGGGGCATCTGTGCAAGTTTTTTTTTTTAAAGAGAAATTTTGAAAATAAAATTTACGAAGACATTGATATAATACACATAGATTATATAATACATATAAATAGTAAAAAAAAAAATATAATACACAGATTATATTTATATTTTATTATAATATATTTGATTGAAATTGGTATCACAAATTAAGTGACATCAATTTAATTGATAAATTTACGTAATTTCCTTTATAATAACACTAATAAATATAAAGTTAAAGATATATATTATTTTAATTTTTGTTTATAAAACACATTTTTCCAAAAAAAATATTCAACTTCTTAAAAAAAAAATTTTCTTCTTTTAAAACATATATATATATATATATAATATTTTCATAACACTCATAAAGGAACGTAGAAAACATTTAGTAATAAAAATGTAAATCCCATGAATGGTTTGCTCATTGTGCTTCAAGGCCCAAAACCATATTTCTGCAGGCCAAGCATATGCTTAGTATTTTGATTTATGGACTGGACACTAGTCATGGAGACTGGAGAGGAGAGTCTCGAAAGAGTACTTCAATTTTATTCATATAAAATCATCCATTTGGCAACATGAATTGAATGTAATAGAAGAGATTTGAATTTTAAAATTAATAAATATTTATTTTTTATATTTTTGAAATATATATTAAATTTTAATTAATTTATAAATAGTTTATGCATTTCATCTCACAATTTTATACATTAGACTAAATTCAAATTTATATTCCCAAATGTAACAACGCATTTAAATCCTTCTTTATTTTCAATTTTACTTTTATTATTCTTTCCTCTTTTTTTTTTTTTAAATTAATTTAAAGTGCATCGCAATGTTAAGTTCACTTTCAATTTAAACGGAAGCGGCAAATGTAAACGTGCGCACGGAATAAAAAACCGTTGCGGTCGGAGTTCGGACCCCAAATTCACATTCCAATTCAGTTAAATATAAAACGTTATGCTCAAGTTTTCACGTCTTTGAAGTCTGGGGCACCCTCCTCTTTGTATGCTATCTTTTCCTCACTTTCATTTTAACGCGTGCAACTACAACACCTTTCCTTATGTCTTCTTTAATGATTTTCTCTTTTTCTTATAAAAATGATGACATAATAAATAAAATTATGGAATTACTATTAAAAAAATTATTAAAAAAACTATCATTACTAAATAAAAAAATGATAAATTACAAAAAAAAAAAACTGTGATACATTCATTTCTTTTCACTAATAAAGTAAAATATTTCTCAACGTTAGCGTGCAATCCACTCTCCACTACCGCGTGGATCAAATTGACAAATCTAGTGCACGAGGACCGAACAGCCCTCTTTGGATATTTTGAAACCCAGTATCCAACTTCGAGAAAAGACACGTGTCAATCTCTAATCAGACTGTTTTTTTTTTTTTCAAACAAAAGCCAAACAACGGAGAATCGAAACGACTAGAAACGAGGCAAAATTCGCTTTAAAAGACCAAGAGGCGCCTTCTCATTGGATACTATTTTAAACTTCCACTAAATTCTCTGTACCTTGTGCTGTAACTTTATCACTACCTTTTTGGATTTTGAATAAAAAAAAAAACCTAACATAATCCCAAAATCTCAACGGTTTTTGAGTATCTTCTTACCGCACAAAACACACAAATTTCAGAAAAAGAGAGAGAACAGAAAATTAAAACAAAGCAAACCCTTTTAGAGAGAAGGGGTTGTTGGTTTTTTTATTTTTGTTTTTTTTTTAAGAGAAAATTTTGTTGTTTTGCAGGTGAAACAATGGAGAGTAAGGAGGATGTTATTTCTGTTGAGCTTCCAGCACCTGCTTCTTGGAAGAAAATGGTAGCTTTTTTTTTTTTCCTTTGAAGTTTTAATTTTATTAATTTAGTTCTGTGATTATGTATTAATTGGCTTGCCCCTTTGAATTTTGCATCTTGCTTTAGTATTTTATATATTTTTTTGTCTGTCTTGGAAATTTTGGGTTATTTTTTGTGTTAATTTGGGAATTTACTGATTATTTTATGTTTTATAGGTATTGTGCTGTAAGTTTGTTTGTTTATGGTGGTAATTTTCATCATTAGGGTTACTTTTGAAGGTTTTACCTTTGTGTTGTTGGTAATAGTTGAAGTTAGGGCTTTGTGCTCCCTTTGTGGAAGTTTTAATCTTTTCAACCATGTTTAGGTTTAATTTAGTTATGACATGGTGCATAAAATCCAAAACAGAACCGGGAGAAGAAAATTTTGCTTGGCTTGTTTTTCCCAAAGTATTTTCTCTTTGAAGAAAGGGGGAGTTCTATTTTGCATTATATCATGATTTATGAGCTTCATGAAAGTTCCAGTGGCAATTGTGCTGGTTTCCAGCAGAATTCTGCTGCATTCTTTTTTGTTGTACTTTAAACCTAACGCTTTCATTTTGAGTAGTGGTTGAGAAAACTCTATCAAAGTAGTTATGTAATAGTGGATAAAGCTCTAAAATTTGAAACAAATTGATGTTAAACTATTATTAAGAAATTGTCAAATTGATATGGATGTTGTGGGATAAGACTTTTACGAGAATTAACAGCGCAAATAAATGAAGTTCTGATGTCTGGAGTATGAATTATAGATATTTAACTGGGGGTTTTAGCCATCAATGCAGAGCTGGTTATGTTGTTTCTTCTCAGTTATAGTGGGATGTTGTTGGTTGCACCTAATGCCTCTAGGGAAAAATGTTTAAAACTTTTCTATGTCGATTCTTAAGTATCTATCTTTTATAATTTGTAGTATAAGAGTCTTGTTTCAAATGGAGCTGACAGTGGTTATTTGGTTATACTGTGCTTATGCAAAATCTGTTCTCTGAGTCAAGATATGGTATGGTTTGGTGGCCATTAAATGTATTCATAAGCAAGAAAAGGTTTTTCATCATGTTTTTGAGTGTTAGGTTTTGGCTTTTGATGAAGGAATCATCAATCTATCAAAACTTCCTCTCTTGTTCCTTCTCAGTGGGAAGCATGTACTAAGTTCTTTTATTGTAGTTGAATACCTGAGATGACTATGAGTTATCATCGAGATGGGATGAATTTTCTTGTTCGTGGGATAGAGGTCTTGAAACAGCTTTATTTATGAATTGCAATTTTAGTCATTTTTGTACAAAGTGCAGTGTGGTTGTAACTGGGATTTTAAGTAGCTGGTTATGTTGTCTATGAACTGATGTGTGTTTCATGTATTAATGGTCCATGAAAATGAAAATTCATTGATTAGTGAAGAATGTGTTCTATTAGCCAATTCATGGGTTACTTTATATCATATGTCTATCATCTGAGCCATCGTGTAGTCGAATTTACTGAAATTGGAGTCAGCCTAGTGGCCACTGCTATAATCTTCTTTACTTGCGCCAATGGCTGATTTTAATTTTTAAAGGTTTTGACTGCTAATCATGGTTTTAAATGGAAATAATTATGTCTAGTGCTGATGCATTTCTTGGTCCATCTTGCTTAGGAGATTTTCCATAGTAGTGAAACAGATAATAATGTAGCCACATGAGGAAAAATCAATATGTTAGGAAGGGAGCCCTTGGAGTTCAATGAAGTATGGAGATCCTCTATATGATCATCTTTTGATCTGTGTCAGCATTCTTTGATTCTGAGTTTTAGTTTGTTCTTTCAAAACCTAAGTTTTGAGCTTTAAGAAAAATTTACAGAATGGTAAACAAGCAGTGGCCCTTCACTTGTTGTTTCAGCTCTAAAAGTTACCGTTCAATGTAAATTTATGGTCTAATCAAGAAAAGGGCTCTTTCCCTACAATTATTTTTTTCCTAATACTTTAGAGCCCATTGTTGTTTTAGTTGCAATTTTGTTGATATCCAATCAATATTGATTCATGTTATTGTGCTTCTTATCTTATTTGATTTGATGGCTATAGTGCTACTTGTATAACATGTCTTCTCTGTTCATTGTTACAGTTTTTCCCCAAGAAAGTTGGTTCACCGAGGAAGACTGAGATCATGTTCGTTTCACCAACTGGGGAGGAGATTAATAACCGAAAACAGTTGGAGCAGTATCTAAAATCAAACCCTGGTAATCCTCCAATAACAGAGTTTGATTGGGGTACAGGTGAGACCCCTAGAAGATCAGCGAGGATCAGTGAAAAGGCCAAGGCTACTCCAACACCAGAAAAGGAACCCCTGAAGAAGCGAGGCAGAAAATCATTGAGTGCAAAGAAGGAAGACAAGGGAACAAAGCCTGTTCCTGAAAAATCTGAGGGTGAAAAAGAAAGTGAAAAGGAAGATGCACAAGCCACAGAGAAGAAAAATGCAGAAGGTAAAAATGAAAAAGGTACTTTCAATCAGGTTGACAATGGATTTAAAACAGAAGCAGCTGACCAGACTGGGCATTCTGATGCCAAGATGGAGGAAGCTGGGAAAGAAGCTGGAAAAGATGTTAAGATACCAGAAACTGCAGAGGATGACAAAAAAGAAGAGGCTGCTGGTGCTGAAGAAACACCAACTCCAATGGAAGTTCAAGAGAAACCTGCAGAAGCTAGTTGTACTGATGGAACTCAAACTGAAAAAGAAGAGGAAGTCCCTATTGAAAAGGTGCCGCAAGCTCAGGCAGAGAAAGAGAATGGTACATGCCAGGAAAAATTAGAAAACCCCAAAACTAATGGGGGAGTAGGGAAAGAGAATCCAAATGGAGCAATCCCTGAGTCCGAGGGAGAGGCCAAAGAGAAACAAGGTGTACAGGAGGTTGCTGGCAAGTGGAGTTTTCAGTTAGAGGAGAAAGGCAAGGCAGTAGATGCGGAGGTGATTGAAAATGGTAAGGTTAAACCTCCGGGATCTGCTCCTGTAAGCTGCTAAATGTACCATCTGATATCCTAGCTATCCTGTTGTACTGTCTTTTTTTGTATTGCCCGTGTAACCTCTATGATTCCATGGATGACTGTAACATTTATGTTGTTGTTGCTAGATTTGATTGTATGTAGGGAAATCAACCTGTATCCCTGTAAGTAGGTTTTGAAAATTTCAGCTTATGTTATATTTTGCTGAACTTAGATTGTAGGCACCTGGAACTCATCACTTATGGTTATTGGCTCAAGTTTCAAATTGAAAATAACATGCTATGTGGCATAGATTAACTGCATCGTATATGCTTTGGTATTGTTGTTTAGGCCATTTGCCTATGTTTGGTTTGCAGATTTTAGTATTATTAATATGAAGAATGGAGAAATTTTGACGGAAAGAAGGGCAGTGGCAAGAAGGTGACATCGTCTGTCTCCAACTCTGTGATGAATGGTGGGAATAATTTCATCATTCCTGGTGTGTGGAGTTTAATCTTCTGCACTTGTTTAACATTCAGCTTTTGGACCGTCCCGCTCAAAGCATGTAGATTTATATAAACACAAGTACCCCTCTAGCTTTATTTCTGCTAAGCCCATCTAGATCTTTCTGAAGAGTCAGTAGCACTATTGTTCTAAAGATCTTTTTACATAATTCTTTTGAGTTCAAAGACGACCTTGATGACCCCTTTATCGAGAGTGTCTTCCATATTTGGGATGTTTTATTGCCTGCAGCAAAGAACGTTTTTAGTACACTTTACAGGTTGGGTTTAAAGGGTATTGTTCAGGTTTCAAGTCCACACTCGGAGGCTGTATTTTCCCATTCCTTCCCACCATCAGCCTGCCCTGCATCTTAAGACCTGATGTTCTTCAAATCATGCGGCCACTTCGGCGGTTTCTCTCTCAAATTGGTTCTCCATTTTATATAAATGCATATCCATTTCTAGCCTATCGAAACCTCCAAGTTTATTTGAAAAAAAAAAAAATGTATCCCCAAATGAGAGGGAAATATACAAAAACACTTTATATAATTTTATTGTCATAGTTAGTGAAGTCTTGCAATATTTTCTTTTGATTCTATTATCCTATTTTTTATTATAGAAGTAAAAAAAATAATTTGCGATCACTAACAATGTATCCAAAAATTGAGTCAAACTAAATTTAAATTTGCAAATCTGAAATTTAAAACTTGAGTTACTTTCCAAAAATTGTTGATATATAATTAACAGCTTAACTTTTACCGAAATTATGCGATTACTCCACGGTTGGTGCCAACATCTACCTACTTTTTAATTCTTTTTTCTTTTCATCACGGTCAATGAAAATGGTGAAAGTGGAAGGTCAACGACGCAATTACCGTTGTTTAATCGTTATTATATTAAAATGCTACTGACCCTCGTTCGAGATCATGATTAATTAATTACAAAAGAGATGCATCCTTGAGCCTTTTCATCCCCAGAAAAAAGATTCATATTCTCTCTTTTTTTTTTTTTTTTTTATGTCCAAGAGAAAGAACCAATATCTTCCCATTTGGTCGCTTAGCACCATGCAATTACTCATTACAAGTGTGTTTATATATATATTATATCATATTTTTTTCCGATTCTAGTATTTTTTTCGAATAAATTTTGATATTATTATTATTATTTAATTTCAAGAGCACTTTCTAAATTTTAAATATTAATAATATGATGTTTCTTATTATATATAATATTATATTATAATATACATAAAAAACTGATAGAATTTGCTTACGTCGATGTTTAGGTGGACAAACTATATTATTGACATGTAAGATATTTTTAAATAATTTTATTAAATCAATTATTTAATTTTTAAAAATTTTAAAGTTTCAAATTTTGCATTTATCAAAATCTTTCCAAATATATAAGATTTATCTTAATTTAAATCTAATAAAATATATCTTCTTATATTTCACTCTTATTTAATTCAAATAGTTTTTAAAAATTAAATTTCTAAATCTTAAAAATCATAAAAAATTATATACCGTCTAAATTAATATTTATATAAATTTAAATAAATAAAATTTGTGATTGAATTACTGTTATTTACCAAATTTTATCTTTTTTTTTTATAATTTAAAATAAAAAAATATTTTATGTCAATTCAAAATTACACACATATCTAAATTTAAAATTATACTAATTTCTTTTATCTTAATTTAAAATTAAACTTGGATAAACTAAATTTTTAAAAATTTAGATTTTTTAAAATTAAATAATTATTAAATATATATTTATGATTTTTTCTCACAATCAATATTTTTTTCTTTTGTCATAAAAGTTTGACAAGCTAAAGTTTCAAACTTAAATATATAAACTTATATTCTTTACAATTAATAGTATAAGAAGAATGATGATCACCAAAAGTTTTAAAGGCATTAAATAAAAACTTATTCTTTACTTAGTTTATCTATCTAACCATAAAATCATCAATTATGTTTAAAAATAATTTTATTAACAATATGGTTTTCTTTTTATCTAAAAATAATTTTATTTTAAGAAATATTGTTAGCCCAATACATTTGTGTAATAATGACTTGAAGTATGTAAAAAATAAGAACTAACTAAAAAGTAAATGGTTATGACTAAATTAATAATTATGATTTGTTATTCAATCAAATAAATAAATAAAAATATATATATATATATCAAACAAGAAAAAAAACGGTAGCAAAATTTTTAGTAAAAACAATTATCATATATATATATATATCAACATTATCATAAAAACAATTATTAATCTTAATTATTTAAATATTGATTCTTAAATTTTTATCAAACAAGAAAAAAAAATAGTAACAAAATTTTTAGTATTTAGCAAATGAATTGAAGAAAATATTTTTTTATGAAAAAAATGTTTTTTATAATTCTTGAAAATTTATAAAAGTTTAGACTTCTTTTAGATTAATCATATCATTTATAATATATTATGTATAAATTATCATTTAATTGTAACTTAACATTTATAAATATATGATTATATATTAGAACAATAATTAAAAAATAAATTTAAAATTATGAAAATTTTAATACAAAATCTCATGCATTGTATGGGTTAAAAAAACTAGTAAAATATATACATATATATATATATATATACATGAAATATAATCCCAAACTATTACAAATTTTTTTCTTAAAATAAATTCCACTTTAAAATATCAAGCATGTATGGCTGCAATGGTGCTGCTGACAGCAGGATATATAGAAAAATGGTTGAGGGATCCTTTTCAGTGTACGAGCTGGACACTGGAATTGGAATTGGAATGGTGAGTGATGCACTTGGTGGAAGGTTGCACCAGCGACGACCCTTTTGCGACGGATTTTGAAATGAAATGTCGGCCTTACGTATCGAGATCGAGACATCAACTAATTTGTATTTTTCAATGCAAATGGGGTAGGAAATCTAATCCTCTTTCACATTTTCTGTGGCCATAACCAATGACCCAAAAACGAACACAAAGAAATTTATTTCAATTTTACTCAATGTTCTAAAATTCAAATATAATTTAATTTTTTTAGTATTTCATTTTTATTTGCAAGATTTAAAATTTAAATTTTGTCTAAATATTTTGTTAAAATATTTCAAATTTATTTATTTCCTCAATTATTATTAAAATTTTAACAAAATATATCACTTTCGTAGAATAACCCAACCTAAATAGTCAAATTAATTATTTTGTTATCACATGACATTCGAGATATTCAAGTTCACCCAATTTTTTCGTATAAACATTTAATTTTAATAATTAAGCGAAACAAATTTTTAATTTCCTTTTTTTCTTACTGATTTTTTAATAATGTCAATTATATGAAAATAACAATAAAAAAAAGGAAAAGATTTTTTGGTCTTCTCGAACGGAAAGTTCTAAATCTTTAAAATGCAATTCTTATTGTTTTTTTAATCATATACAAGCATTTTTTCCAAACCTTGAAAAAACAAAAACAAATCCAAGGCCAATACCAGGAAAATTGGAAAATATCATAACTAACTAATCTTCTGTGGTAGGGATCATCTCAGCCTCATCATTTTCAACATAATCATCACCGTTGATCTGATCAAGAACAAGCACCAATCCCATAGCAAAGGCCCCATCAAAGCCAGGCTTTAAGGAAAGCAAGAAAACGTCCTTACCAAGTACCACGTTGGTGGAAGCATCAACTTTGCGTTTGATCTCAGCCACTGATTCCTTGGCTGCATTGAAGATCGTGCAGCTGCGTTGTCCGAAGCTTCCCTCGATCTGGTACTCCTCTCCTGGATTGTTGAACACTTCAACCATCATCCCACACCGTCCGATTATTGATGATCTTTTAATACTGAAGATTGGTTTCTGACCCTCCGATCTTTCGCCGAGAAAGCCTTCCCACCGGTGATGTAAACTCGGCCTCTGTTTTTAGGCAAAATCAGAGAAAGTTTATCAACTCACTACGTTAACTTAACATGGAAATAAAATAGTTTTCCAATTAAAGAAATAGAAATGGATTGGTAACTATTTATTAAAATGGCAAGTAAACACTAAACAAAATATAATAAACCAAATCTAAATAACATAGTGTTTCCTTCTATAAATGGGAAAATCCAAACACTAACGAGTTGACTCGGTTTAATTAATATTTGGACGAGGGACGAGTACAAAATTGGAATAAGATCAAAACTAAATCTCAGCCCATTAACTGAAATGGGCAATTTAGTACATTTATTATCGAAAAAATGAAAACCAAATATAATAAAGTATCTGGACGAGTTGACTCAGAAGTCAGAACCCTCCATGAACGAGTTACAAAAGTTTCTTAAACATTATGGAAAACAAACCTATACCCATTTATCCAAATCAGATCATTAAAGAACCCAGTAAAACAAATCCAATTCTTTTCCGTGTCACTAAACAGGAATCGACAGACCGAGTCAAATCGTTCAACGAAAAAAAAAAAGAAAGAATATACCTTTTTTCTTACAGTGAGTAGACACCTTCCATGAGCATCCATAAGAACAACTTCACCTTTATCACGAGGGTCAGGGCCGTACGAGTCGACTCGGAAGACTAACTGACCTTTACAATCGTAAACAGTGAAGCCATCATTAGCGAAGAAAAGAGAAGTTTTGAGAACAGTGAGATGCTTCTCTTCGTCGTAAATATAATCCCCATCCACAACCAAACCTGATTTCATATTGTTCCCCTTGTCTATATGCTTCTTTAGATTCCAGGAGCCTTTGATTTGGAGCAAAGAAGAACAAAAACTGAAGGCTTTTTAGAGGTGTAATGCGAGGAATGAAAAAGAAAAGTAAACGTTGAGAAACGGGAACCGTTGAAGGGAATATTTATAGTGTTTTTGGAAGAAGATGACACGGTTCAGAACTCGGTGCCCAATTGGGACATGCGGATTGCATTAATTACTACTAATATTAAAATAATTAAGCCATTGTTTTTCTATTAAAATCTGAGAATGGAACCTAACAAAAATGGATTTTTTCAGAACGTGGAAGTCAGAATCAGACTTTGGAATGTGATGTGACCAATTCATCCAATCGCTTTAAAGGGGCAGGTATTTATTTAACATATTTAAAGTTTTTTTTTAATATTTGAAATTATTTGAATTTAAATTTTGATTACAAAAATTGTTAAAATAGTGAAAGGTTTTTGAATTATTTTATATTTAAATAAAATTTTATATATTTGCTATATTTAATAATTTTTTTAATTTATATTAAAATAAATTTTTATTTCAAATAAAATACTATTTATGTTAGAAATTTATTTAAATATAAATTAAAAGTTAATTATTTATTTAAATATAAATTAAAGATTAAAATTTTATTTAAATTCAAATTAAATGTGAATGGTTTATTTAGATATAATAATATTATAAAAATTGCTATAAATAAAGTGATAAAATTTATAAATTTTTTATTATTTTAATTTAAAATTTAAAAATTAATTATTTTATTATAATTATTAACAACATATTTAAATTTTAAATTTAAATTTAAATGTCTAATATCTTTTCTTTTATTTTCACTTTTTTAAAATGAATCGGAACTGTACGAATCAATTTTTATTTACGGAGTAACTGAGTTTATTGGGCTTATGAGCAATGGTTTTTTTATTTACAAAACAATTAATATTTTCGGTGGGCCCGCTAATGATTTATGTTTTTAGTCTATTAGGTTTTTTTTTTTTTTTTTACTTTTTGGTTGCATTTTATTTTAAGCATATGTTTAACAGTCTTTATAAGCATTGGTTAAAAATAATTAAATTACTATTTTAGGATAAATTTTTGCTTTTAATATATTGTTTTAACTAAATTCAAGAGAAATAGTGCATTAGTTACTATTTTCCTTTTTGAATTTTACTAAAGAATGTCTTAAGAGCACACTTTAAAGTTATCATATTAAAAAAATATTTTTTTTCAACGCATTGAAACTATCATAATAATTATCAATTATTATTTTATTTAATAAAATGAATATTACTATAAAATATTATGTTAACTAACTTTAAAAAGTATTTTATTGTCACTCGTTAGTAAAATTTTTTTTAAATACCACCTTAATCAATGTTGTTAGGGTTAATATTTTCTTATTTTAATACAAATTAAAAAAATATGGGATAAAATTAAATAGCTTTTTCGTTTTTGACCAAGAGATAAAATTAAATGGTTTGAGAATTATGATAATGGCATTAAAAAAGAAACAAAAATAATTTTATTATGTTTTAATAGTTTTTTTTTTCCTTTCTATGGTAGCCATGTGGCTTTTAATTTAATATTGAAAATGGTTTGCTTTTAATTTAGAATTGAAAATGTTATGTCAATAAGCCTTTAGCTTAATGATAAGGAAGTGACCAATCTTAAAGTTTTAAATTCAAATCTTATGGCATGTAAGTTTATTACAAATTTTTATTGAATTTGCCTAGTAATATTATAATTATAATTTTATTATTTAGTAATTTTTTATATATAATTATAATATTTGATTATAATTAAAATTTATACTATATTTGTAATTTCATATAAAAATTTGAAAATGAAATGCTTTGGTTTTATGAGAGCATTGTATTATATGTCAAGCTTTCATGGAACGTGATGGAAAGAAGGAAGACCTCACAAATCAGAAAGGAACAATAGAGAAAAGGACATTGGTAATGCCCAACGACATCTTTAATTTTTTTTTTTTTTTTAACTAACACCACTAACTTCATTTGATACTAGTTGGTAGCATGACAATCATTAACCCTATATATTTTGAAGAAGTAAATTCAAAAGTGAGTTGAGTTTTATCCAACTCACACTTCTTATAGTCTGTTTGTTTTATTTTTTATTTTTATTGTTTTTATACAATTATTATTCCATACAACATTGATGATTTGTACAATTTTAAATTCCACAAACAAAATTAAATAATTTTTATATTACTATTTATGATTAATAAATTTATTAATCTTCATAAATAAATGTGTTTTCTGATTCCCATATATAGCAAATTAAAAATATTATGAGTAAATATATTTATCAATTAAACATTTAATTTAAAATCGATCTAATTTGTGTACAAAATTATAAAAATTTTAAAATCAATAGTTGAAATACACTACTTTAATAAATTCTATCACATATAAACAAAAATAAAAATTTATTAAGTGATAAACTTAAAAAGAGTACCTGATAAAAATAATAAATAAAAATAATAAAACAAAATCTAAATTTGAATATAATATTAAACATCCAAACTAATAAAAAAACATACTTGAATATAAAATAAAAAATATAATATTTAACAAATATAAAATAATGTTACTTAAACAATTCCAAACCGGGTTAATTATTTTAGATTCACCATTGAATCATTGAATTACAAAGTCAATGATAACCCCAGTCAGCCCAGCATTATTCAGATCCCCGACTAATATGAAACCGGCAAGATAATTAGGGTGGCCATGCACGAGGGACATGGGTCCTATTTTCCACGAAAGCCAAAAACATAGATGATATGTCAAATCTTGTAAAAATTCAAGATCATTTGCAGAACGAATAACTGAAAAAATAAACGACAAAGCAGATATCAAACAAAAAAAAAAAGTCATTCGAGAAATTATAGTGGACTCACCGCCGATTATCAGTACTAATACCTTTTTCTAAAAAAAAAAAAAAAACGTAGAGGTTAGAAATTGGTTGAGCTACGTACACCACACAAATAGGACTTGATATATGATACGAATCTATCTTCTAATCTAATTTGTGGCCAATAATTAATTAATTGAAAGGGTTTCTACCATATTTTTCTTGCTTTGAAATATATTAGATTGTTGCAATTATTATGGTTTCATGCATTTTATAGATTTATGATTCACAAAATTTAATTCTTAACATGTTTATATCTAAAGTTTTAAATACTAAGATTTAATGTTTGATAATTAAAAGGAAAAAGGAAATTCAATTTGTATTAAATGCAACTATTAAACCGAAATACAAATATCAATGATTTAGACTACGTATCCTTCCTATCTTATCTTGCAATTAGGTGGTTGGCCCATCTCCCACATAATTGACTTGGGAGGAATCGTCCAATCCTCCCTGATTGCTGGATTGAATTGATTTCCACCAAGAATTTAATGCCTCGTCCTTTTGAGATTTTTTTTATAAAAAAGGTCAAAAACTATATATGTTAAAATTTAAATTTATTTTTTATGATAATTATATAAATAAATTAAATTAAGTTTTGATTTTATAAATAATTATTTAAGAAATCATTTTCGTTATTTTAATTTTTTTAAATTATTGAATAATGAATATATTTTTTGCTTCAAAATTAAGATTTTAGTCAATTGATGATGCTATAATTATGATTGCCAAAATTTTACTCTATTAGTTTATACATCAAACATCTGTCTGTTCAACTTTTATGTTTATCAACAATCCAACTTTATTTTGGGTCTTTGAGAATTGCACAGACAGTAAGAAATTCTGATCAAATTCCTATTAAATTCTCGATTTTGAACACGTAATCTTTAATAATTTAATTAATTTACATATCATCTGAGTTAATATTTAATTAACACAAAAAACTTACTTTAATTTTTATCAATTAACTTCAAATTTTTATCTTAATTTAACACGCTTCCAGCAGTTATACCCATATTCCATAATCAAATGCAGAAAATTCATCACTATTTTTTTACAGCCAATGAAAAATTAAAAAAAAAAAAAAGGTCACAAAAGTTTATGTAAAACGCCGTACGTAAAGTTCTTCCCATGCACGTTGTAAAATATATAAGACGTGTGCAAAACATGTGCAAGTGAAAGGCTAGTTTCCATGATCTAATCGATTTTACGGCGTAAGAAGTCACTGTAGCTAAGGCTGCAACCGGCCTTCCTTAAAATCTTAATTGGTTTAAAGGTTTTTTTTTTTTTTTCTTTTTAATCAACGATCTATAGGATAAAACACTAAATTCAAATTTAAGATATTGAAATTACAGGCAACTACAGGCACAGAATCAAACAATCCAACCCCGAATTGCACTCTGATGTGTGGTGCTCATGCTGATCATTCATACTGCCCACACAGGCAAATTCTCTATGTGACTATATATATGGTCTGTGGTCCAAAGGGAACATTTGGGAATTGTCAAAAAGAATGGGCAAGAAAGGAGACAGCCACACACTCAATCGCATAATTTTTCTTCTCATGATAGGGGCTTTTTGTGAAGATATATATATATATATTAATTTAAATGTAAATTTAATTTATAGCCGGGGGAACCACAAAAACGATGTACATGTGTGACAATATTGGTTCCAATATGGCAATATGAACAAACTAATCTAGGTTACATTATTGTATCGTGTCACGGTAATTTTAAACTCTGCTAATCTTATATATGCACACTCGCTACTGGGTAGAAATTTTTTATACTAATATTAAAGATTAAGTGTTTGATAAATTGATGTCATGAGATCAGACACCAATTCAGTCGACGAAATTATTTAAAAAGGGAAAAAAAGTTAGTTTTAAAACATATAGATTCATTTCTCACTCTATTTTAAAGGAAAAGTAAATTACTATTATAATTTTATTAGTAATATATATTTTTTATTTTTTGGTTCAACAAAGTTTAAGTGATGTGAGAGTATTATATTTTAAGATTAAAGCATGTCGTAAGTTTTCGTAAAAATTTATATTACATTTACAAATCGTTTACTAGAATTATCAGCAATAAAAATCGATTTTAAACCTATTATAAGAGAAAATTTTTATCATATTTTTTATTTTATAATTTATCTTTTTCGTTAAATTCCTTAATTGTGTTTGTATTCGTTGACAATATGTAACATCAACCTTAGTAAAAAATTTTAAAATATTATAAATAGATAAAAATTATAATTCATTATCTCATAATTTTTAAATATTTTTTATTAATTAGTAAGTGTTAATTTTGATAATGTATCATTGCAATTGAGAATCCTCTTCTTTAAGGGGAGCAAATTTGGCATTTCTTGCTAATGGAATCGATTTCTTAGCTGAAATTCATATAACTAAAAAAAAGAGATAAATAAAAATCTAACACATTATTATATATATGTTCCTGGCAAGACATCACCTGATATGTATTTTATCATTTCAGATAAATGGTGAAAAATTATATAATTATTTTATGAAGTAATTTTTAATGTACCAAATAAAACAAATTCTATGTATTTATTTTTTGGTAGGAAATGCTATGTATTTTATCTTGTGAAAACAACTTCTAGCTAGTACTCTAATTGCTTTTGAGCAAATTACTTTTTGGTTCCCATTTAATATTAAACCCTTAACCACTGTCATGTGGGATTTGGGCTTCGGAATTGGACTCAAAAGCCACCCAGTCCAAGGCCTATGAATTATTGTCGATTTTTTTTATTAATAATGTAAGGTAGTGCAATCTTGCTGCCAACAGGAATCGGCCATTATGGTTACGACCTTGTGTGATAACCTAGAGGTCTATGGTTCAAAGCTGTAGGCATCGCTGATGCTGCCAATGATAATGATAATAATGATGATGATCACAATTAAAAAGAGGTATTCTAAAATACCTTTTTTTCTCATGAATTTAGTAATTAATTCCTTCTATAAAAGTTTAAAATTGTACGGCTTTCTTTGATTTATGAAAATATTTTTGAAAGGAACTATCAAATTTGATTATTGGTATTTAAGATTTTTTAGATGTGCTATATTAGGGAACAGTTTTTCGATAGTAATACTTTTTTGGTGTTTAAAAGTACATTTGATTTTCCATTATAGTTTACATTTTTAGTGCATTTTCTGAATGGTATAAAAATTTCTAGATACATTTCAAACAAAGTCAAGTTTCCCAGCCATTCAAACTAATTTAAAGATGAAAAGTATAGGAGTACTTCATTATAGTACAAAGTATGGTTTCATACTTTCATGTATATAGGAAATAGAAAAAAGATCATGAATACAATGTTTAACGTGTTGAAAAAAGTGAAGAAAATAAGACGAATTTGGCACTAAAATTGAGGCTCAAATCCGACAGACAGGTTAGACATGTGTTAAGACTTTTGTTGCTGAAGAACCCGGGGCTTAACTCATGAAAAAGACTTCATTTGTCAAGCTAGGATTAGGAGAATGTTTTCCAAGAATTCATGAAAAAGCCCATTTGAGAGACTATATTTAGGTGAAGTTTTGTTTGCACTGGGCCATGGTCACAGGCTCATCCCCAATGAACTGTGTGTTTGGGACAATACTTGATCCTTAGCATCTTAATAACACCATATTGTATGTATATTCTTCACATTTATGCTGTGCGCCAATGGCTAATCGAACTGATTTGCAGGACTTGTGCAAGCTGTCAAGCACCAAACTCTGGTCACTGGTTAGATTTTCATTTTCACCTGCCCGAAAAGAAAGCATGTGGATTATATAGCTATGAGAGAAATGGAGAAAAGTCATCCCAAGCAAGGAAATTCATAGCTGCCATGCCAAGTTAAGTGAAATTCAAACCACAATGTTCTGTTTTTCTTTTCTTCTATAGGATATTTGACGTATCTGGAAGTCGATTTATTTTATTTTCAACCAATTGCCAATCCTTGCTTCATACACCACAATTATCTTCTTAGTAAAGTTACGTTTCAACCACTTCCTAAAAGGTCAAAGAAGCAAAACTGTAGACCACACTCTTCCACAAAATTTCTTATAATTTCATTTAAGCTGATAAAGAAACGGGTTACATGATAGATTAAAAGTCAAAACAATTATGATACCAGAAGTCTAAGACAAGCACAAAAAAAAAAAAAAAAAGAACGGTAATAATAGTTTGTAATTTGATGCATCTATTACCTAGGTTTTTTTCTGCCTCTCATTGTCATATAACTCTATACAGACAGGGTGAGAAAACGTTTTGGGTCTTTTCATTCTAAAAGAGAGTCCGAGTTAAGCGGGAGATTCTTCAGTTTTGAGCAGCTGAATACCAGAGAAATGAGAGAAGAGAAAAGGGATAATACCTTGTGATTTGGACTATTTGATGCTTTTGCAATCTCCGTCATTTCATCATTTTGTTTGCTGGACCTACAGTTGAAAATTTCATGTTAAAATAAAAGAAATCTCATCCAAAACACATGTCCCCATACAAAAAAATGATATAACATGGTAGGGAATAGAAATAGATGTTGATAAATCATATGAAAATGAAACAATGTGTTAGAGATAACAGTTTAAACAAATGAAACAAACTGCCACAAAATGTAATTGAAAGTCTTACAGTACTTTTCAAAATATCACACCTTTAATCATGTCTTCAGCTTCATTTCACCATCACTGAGGTTCAAAGAAAGGCAAATATGCATTTTGAGTGGCTTTATCCTTCCATTCTAGTCTTTCCCACCACTCCTTTTCTCCTTGAATGCAGATTTGATTTCCCTTAGCACTTTCGGCGTTGACCGGGAGCTCCCCCAGCTTCGGGCATTCTCTTACAACAATTTCTGTCAAACATGGGAAGGGTAAGGCATCCCAATATATACTCTTCAGCTGTGGTAGAAACTGTAAACCGAGGTTTTGGAGCTTAGAAAATGGGTTTGGTTTCAGATTTATAACCACATTTGCGACTTCACTCAGCTTTTCCTCACTCATTATTTCTTCCATTTTAGCGCAATTAACTACCCAAAGAATCCTTAGATTTGGAACAAGAATAATCCATGTCATGTCCCTTAGGTTGCCGCACTCAAATATTGTCACCTCTCGGAGTGTGGGAAACAGTGAGGTTTGTATCATTCTTCCTTCCCCTAATTCGCTCACCATCTTCATCTCTTCCATGCTTCCACATTCACTGACATCGAGCCTCTCCAGGCGCTCCATATTTGCTAAAGACAAAACATTCAACAGCTTTGTCTCTTTAAAAACACAAAGAGATAGTTCTTGAGTGCAGCATTCTAAGTTGCGGAAGCTCAAAAATCTTTCCAAAGCGAAAGCGCTTCTTATGTGAATACTCAGCATATTCAAATATTGCAGGCACCCCAATTCTTGTACTAGACCTTCATTGCCATCATTCAGGAGATTGTCTTCATCTGTTTCATTTGGATTATGAAAACCATTACTCGGCCTTTTCAAATGTTGTAAGCACTCCAATTCCACTATTGCGTCGTCATTATCACTGTTGAAGTGAATGTCTTGATCCATTTCATTTGCATGATCAACAGGAGCACCAGTACCAGATCGAAACATTCTGAATATTTGCAGTTTTGAAAAGCTAGATATCAGTTTTCGTGGAATTCTTCTAAGCACGTCCGTGTACCTCAAGTCCAAGTATTTCAGTTTTGCCAGACACTTCATCTTAATGGGCAACTCTGTTATACCTGTCCGTGATAGATTAAGACATTCCAGTGAAACCAATTCTGAAATTCCCTCAGGCAATTCACTTAGACCCCTGTTACCTGCCAAGTTCAAAACTCTTAGATTAGGCATGAATTTGAAGAAGCCATCGCTGATCACCTCCAACTCATTATAGTTGAGTAATAACGTTTGAAGATTAGGGCATGTAGGTGTTTCTGTGAGATATTTAATTTTATTTCCGATCAATGATATTCTTCTAACATTTTCCCATTTCCCAGCATCTGGTGTATCAGTTAATTGGAGCCCTGCTTGAACAAAGAAACTCTTTTCAGCTGCTTCAGATTCACATGCTATCCACAAAGTCATGTCACGAATCACATCATGCATCTTAAGATAGTATTCACCCTCTTCTTCTAACAGGCAAGCATTAACAAGAGAATCAATGATACTGTATCCTTGCAATCGAGCTCTAATTACATTGTCAAATTCATCCAAAAGCCCCTCACAGAACCAATACTCAATTAGCTCAGATTTCAAAATAAGAACATCTTCAGGATACAAACAGCAGTATAAGAGGCAAGTTCTCATTGTGTCACAATGCAAGCTATCAAAACTGAATTTTAAAAGAGGATACACCTCTTGTTCCATTCTTGCCAACTTATGGGCAGATTTCTTCAACACCTCAACTGCGTATTCCCATGCTTGGGGTGTCTTCTTGCTAGCCATGGCTCGGCCAATTGTAATTAGTGCCAGAGGCAGTCCACCGCACTTCTCAGCCAACTTTTTAGCCAACTCTGGAATATCCGGATGGCTGTTGAGGGTTTCTTCTCCAACTTTCTCTCGAAACAGTTTCCAAGCTTCATTTGCTCTCAAACAATCCACTTTGATTTTTTGAGCTTGCATTTCATTACATATCTCTAAAAAACGAGTAGTAAAAACTACTTTAGAACCATTATCTTGGCTAGGCAAAGGGATCCCTATTTTGGTTAAATGCACCCGCTCCCACACATCATCCAACAACACAACAAATTTTTTCTTGTTCAAAATTCTGAAGATATCTACAGCTCTCTCATCAGAACTTTTATTCGCCATCAACTCATTTAAAAGGCCTATCCTTTTCCCAATCTTTTCTTGAACATTTTCAACCGTATGATCTTTAGACACCACTACCCAGATTACAAGATCAAAATCGAATCCTGCAGTACTCAACTTGTTGTTAATCTGGGTCAGGAGTGTCGTCTTCCCAACTCCTCCCAGTCCATACAGACCAATCATTCCCACTGATTTGTCTTGGAGTAAGGTCCAAACCTTAGTCAATGTTGATTCCAAGCCCACTGTGGGTTCAGCCGGTCTTACAAGTACTGGAGTCGTGGGTTCGTTCTCAGCTACCTTATCAAAAACTCCTTTCTTCTTTAGCTCAACAATTTCTTTAAGTTTTGTAGCCACTCGTCGACCAAACTTGTAGCTAGACCTGCAATTCTTGGAAAAGTAGCCTGCCATACATAATTTCCCAGTTTCTTTGGAGCCATCCTTTATCAATTCCTCAGCTTCCATTACCACAGTTTCCACTCTTGAAAGCCACATTTGAACTTGGCTAAGCCGCTTGATCATTTGTTGTTGTTCAGCACATTCGACCCTCCGATGCACGTCATCCCTGAGCGCTTTCAGTTCCCCCAATGCAACACTTAGAGCTCTAAGATTTTTTTCAAGCTTACAAGTGTAATTTGCACGTTCTGTAATACAATTCCAACAACGAGAGACTGTGTCCTCTGTTGAGATTGTGATTGAGCACAAATTACCCATTTTTTGATAGAATTAATCTTAATTTTGATTGATAAACAAATTAAAAAGAATCACTGAGATTTTGGCTTTGAGAAGAATCGTTGCTCTTGTGGTCAAGAGGAAGATGTTAGTTTGACCAAAGTGAGTCAACGCCTTTTGCACTACCAACAAATTCTGGCTACACATGTTTCGAAGGGATCCTACAATGTTGAGACTGGAGAAATATTGTTAATTTATTATTATATAATTTCTCTTTGACGAACTTCTGAGAGTACGTATATCTTCCTACTAAATTTTATTGTTTTCTAATTTTTGAAAATATTTTAAAAAGTTATTTTAATATATATATTTTGATTTTTGACGTGTTCCTGCACACCACCGTCCACCCATGGTTATGCGTGTGAACTGGGCACAATTATGGATCCCACAAAGACTAGAGACTCCTACTTTTTTTCCTTGTCCGCTCTTTCGGGTTTTGGCCCACCTTGTGGTTGTCATTTTTGTTCATACATATTAGTAATATTTTGATAATATTTTAAATTGATTTCCATGTTAATGATATATTTGTAATATTTTAGATTAATTTTAATGATAATATTTTAATAATATTTTAAATTAATTTGATATTAATTTAAAAATATTAACTATTGATTTATTTTATTATAAAAATTAATTTAATCATTATTTTTATTTATTATATTTTTTATTTTATAATATTTTATCTTTGTATAAATAGGTTCTGAACCTCATTGTAAAACATAAATTATTACAATAAAAGTTTTCATCATTTTCTTCTTTATTATGGTATCAAAATAATTTCATTTTTTTATTTTAAAAGTGAATTACCTTGAAATAATTAATATTTGCTTATACTCATCCTTAGTTAATTTTTGTTTCTAATTTCATTTTTACTTTCACACTTCAATTTTTTTGGTTTCTCTTTCTATCTTCAATATTCATATTTTATATCAACACTCATAATTTCTCACGTATCCATTTCATTTTTTTTTCAATAAAAAGCTTAATGACAAGTATTCAATGAGAAAATGTATAACTAATTTTAATTATCTTTGATAGAAATAACTATAATTGATGGGCTACGACTATTATAGTTATCTAAAAGGGATGAAATTATGACTTGTTACTAAAGAATGCAAAGTACCATAAAGGAAAGAAAAAAAATCCATTGATAAATTTGTAAACTGATTAGAGGAATGGGAAAGTAAAAATCATCGAATTCTTATATGGTTCACTAACACTACTTTTTCTTCTATTAATATATAGTTTGGATGATTTGAACTTGCTAAATATGTTTGAGGTTTTCTTGCGACTTGATACAGTGCTACTACCTTTGCTTCTCAATATCATATTTTAACCACTTTATCTCACCTTTGCTAAGAACCAAGTCAGTTGATAGATGATTTTCATTCTAAAATGTAACATTTATAAGATATGCTTGAGAATTCTAAGCCAAAATTCAAGGACGAAAGTGATGCTAGTAATTTGTTATTTATCAAAATCAAATTCATCTTATTCAATTTCTAATAGCATTTTGAGATTAATTTGAAAATACTAGGTCTTCACTTTTGTGCCGATATCTTTTATCAACTATGCATAATACCCTTATGGAATTGATATCTAAGGAAACTCGATTAGGTATGAGTCAAACTCATAGTACTACTACTATTATTGTTGCTACTCTTTAGGAAAATACTAGCTTTACTTTTCACAAGTCTTGTTCACAATGTGGGGGGACTTATCATCCCATTCATAAATGTAGAGTTCAATATCACCATAACATTAGTTTAATTCATGACCTACACATTGACAAGATTATTGTAGCAATAACTACTGAACCAAATATTTTTAAGTTTTCTTCTGAAACCATTACAATCTTTACCACTGATTTTCAAATTTCATTCAATAAAGTATTATCTCAATCTCATATTTTTGCCATGCATGCTGCCACATCAATTAATGTTTGGTTCTTTAATATTGCCTGTAAAAATCATATGACTACTGATCCTTTTTTATTTAAAAGCAAATGACCTGAATCTAATGGTCCAATCATTAAAACAACAAATGGATTTGTCTTAAAAGCTAGCCATAATGTTAATATTGAAACCTCAAAACTATGTATATCTAACATTTATCTTGTTTTTAATATTGCCTTAAATTTACTTTCTGCAGGCCAACTTTGTGACCTTAGTTTTGATTTACATTTTTCATAGCAATATGATTGTATTGTGTAAGATCCTTAAACATGTCAAAAAATGGGATAGGACGTAAGATTAGAATATTGTTTGAGCTTAAGACTTTGAAATTTTCTTAACATTTGATTACTGGTGCTATATTTACAAAAATCAACTCTTCAATTTTTTTTGATTATGACATTCTATATTAGGGCATGCATCTATTTCTAGAATGAAGTCATTTGTTTTCATTGATTTCTTAGATAATATTTCTCATAATATTTTTGATTGTTTATCTTATCAACTTAGAAAGCAAAGTGCTTTACCATTTAATAAAAATGATTCTATCTCATCTGCCCCTTTTGATTTAATCTATTTTGATAGTTGGGGTCTAGTTCCTATACCAACCTTAGGAGGTTCACTTTACTTTGTTATATTTATTGACGATTTCTCTCATTATACTTAGATATATTTATTTAAACAAAGAATTGAACTTTTATCAATTTAAATTCAATAACATGATACAAACTCAATTTTCTAGAAAAATAAAAATCTTCAGGTCTAACAATGTTACTGAATATACAAAAATTGAGTTTGTAACTTGTTAAAGGATGGTGAAACTTTTCCCTGTAAGTCTTGCCCATATACTTCACAACAAAATGATCGAGTTGAAAGAAAGAATCATTATATATTTGACATAGTTCATGCCATTCTCATTTCTTCTTCTTTCTTGAATATTTTTGAGGTAAAACTATTCTTATTGTTGTTTACACTATTAATCGTGCTCTCACAATAGTATTAGGCATATGGTTTCAGTATGAGTGTCATATAATGAGGTACTTGATTACTATTTTCTCAAAGTTTTTAGATGTGCTTGTTTTGTTCTACTTTTTACTCATGAAATGACTAAACTTGAACCTAGAGCTAGATTGTGTTATTTTTTAAGTTATGGTACAAAATATAAGATTACAGGTGTTATGATCTAATGCCTAAATGTTTTCTTATCTCAAGACATATAGTTTTTTAAGAACATTAATAGTAAATTTGTGTTCTTATTATATTCAATATGTTTTTCTCCATGTATTTTTATATATTCATTTTTTTTATTTTTCTTTAAATGATGAGATTATTATAGGTACTTTTGACTCAAACAATGATCCATCTTCTTTTAATCCTACTATGTTTGATTTGACTGAGGCTCTTGTTGATACAGTTGTTCCCTTACCATATATACTGCCCCCACTTCATTGTTCTACTCGGGTAAGAAAACCCAACAATCAACTTTATGATTTTCACTGTTATTATGCTTTAGCCACGTTACATGAACCTCATAATTTTTGTGAAGTTATCTTTAATCTTATGTGATAGTGTCGTAACGGTTTTGAAATTGTTAGACGTAAATGAGTTTTAAAATCAAAATAAATGAGGAGAGTTACCACAAATCTTTGTTAGAGTGTGATTGACCACCAAAAAATTTATCTTTTTAAGAAAACTATAAAAACGGGTTTAAAATTTATCAAAAAGATAAATTTTGATCTACGAAAAATCAGGTTGGATCCTAAAGTCGGTTACGTGTGGGGAATGATTAGCACCCCCACAACGCCTATAAATTGGTATCATTTAATTACACACTATTTTTGGTGTTGGATAAAAATGGTTTTAATTTAAAATTTAACATTAATTCCCTTCATTTGAAAAAATAAAATTTTGCTAAAATTTTTATTTAAAAATATTAAAAAAATCTTTAAGTTAAAGAATTATCTTAAAATTCTTTAACATCTAGGTTGAATTTAAAATAACTCTTTTCGCTTAAGATTTAACACAATAATTCTTAAAATGAAATAACAATCTTTATAGAAAATAATTGTTAGTGACTCTCCAACATCTAGGTAGAGTACCAAGAATTATTTCTTTCTGAATGTTATTTTTATTTTATTTTATAATATCACAAAAATTTTTTTTAAAAGGTATTATTCTTTTCTATTATAAAATATTTTATCATCAAATAGTGAACAAAAATTAAAGACAAAATAATGCAAATAATTACTAATGATAACATGCAAACGTATGTATGCCGATGAATGTTATGTAGGATGAGATGTAATTTTAAAGTTGGATTCTTAAGTATAATGAGATCACCCTGACTCTCCAACATCTAGGCAGAGCTTAGGTACGACTGTTTATATTTAAGATCTCAATTTACTGCTGTACTTTTTATTTATTAATCTTATTATTAATGTGAATTAAGAAATCGTACGAAAAGACTTAACGAAGTAAAGTTTTCTAAATACCCTATCATCTAGGCGATATTCGGGAATAAATTACTTCAAATGAGATTTTCACACGTGTCCTTAAGATTTTTAGGATATTTTGAGTAAGGGCTTGAGTAGAAGTTTTAAAGATTAAGGTTTCAAGATTTTGAAGATTCAGATTTTAAAAGTTTGGATTTAAGTTTTGAGGGTTTTAAGGTTTGGTTTTAAGGTATGGAAGGTTTAGGATTTCGGATTTTAGGGGTTTTAGTTGAAAATTAAAAATTAGTGTTTAAGGTTTCGTTTTTAAGAAAATACGAACATTTCTAAAAATCTCCAACATTTAGGCGGATTTTCGAAGCAAGTTCGATTTTAATGATTTTTAAAAATTAATTAAAAATTTTTTTTATATATTTTTTGAAATTTTATTAATAATAATTTTTCAACATTTAGGCGAAATTATTTCTTTTAAAAAATATTTTTTATTCCCTCCAACATCTAGGAAAGGAAAATAATAATAATAAAATTTTTGAGCATTTTTAATATATATTTTTAATTATTACTTGTTTTTAATTTTATTATTATTAAAATAATTAAATATTTATTCTAATAAATTTAAGAATTTATCATGCATCAATATAAAAAAAATACTTAAAATAAAAAAAATATATAAAAATTTAAAAAAATTAAAAAAATTTTTTTTTTACTTGAACCGAACCGGTCAACAGTCTGGTTAACGCTTGTCTAGATCGATCTG